GATCCAACTTAAACGGCTTAGTTATAGCAACGTAGTGCTGTGATTTCTCCATACCCTCTGTTGCAGGATCTCACCTGTTGAAAAGATAGCAGATCTTTTATCAGGCGTCCGCTCTGATACCAATTGAAAACGTATAGAGAGACACACAGCCAGTTACGCTTGGAACGCGCCAAGCAAACGCTTTTTCCTTCGATCTTTATTAACAAAATTTATCTTTTCCTAGGATACAATTTTGTCTCGGCTCTTACTCAATCTATTCCTCCCAATAGAATTGAACCCGACTAAAGAACGAGCACTAAACCTATCTCTCCTACACCCGTGTAGTCCCAAGAGAAAACAAACACTCACCTTCTCAGCTTTTTGTTTTTCTAGCTTCGAAGTTTTACAATCACGTACAAAGAGTCTAAAGTGTTCAAAGTGGCTCGTGGTCTCACCTAGACTATTTATACTAACTACTCGAAACCCTAACCCTAGGATCTTCGAGGATCTCACGGAAACGGAATATACTTGCTTGTCAAGCTCATCCTTTCCTTATTTGATGTAAAGAATATTCACCATATCTTCACACGCAAATCGTCTCTATCTTTGCTGCCAAGCAAGAAATCTTCCTTAGCACGTCACTCCATCCACTTAAGCTTTGCCACGTCATCTCACGACTCCATGTCAGCAACTTCAAGTGTCTGATGTGATCCCAGGCGTCTGATGTGGTCTCAGGCGTCTGAACAGATGCAGCTTCCTGATCTTCACAGCAAGCTGTTCTGGAACTGCATCTTCAAAGATAGCAGAGGATATGGCCACTGCTATAGCTTACCTTCACACTGCCTTCCCTAGGCCATTCGTTTATAGGAGTTTTTCTGCTGGGAATATCTTATTGGACGAAGATGGTGTCGCGAAGCTGACTGGTTTCTATTTCTGCGTCTCAATTCCACAAGGAGAAACATTTGTCAAGGTTGACGTATTGGCAGGAACACTTGGTTACATGGATGAGAAATACCATCGAAATCTGGTAGTCTCGGAGGAAACGGATGTGTTTGCCTTTGGTATGTTAATGCTAAGGTTTCTAATGGGAGATATATTCTATAAATATAGAAACTGGAAATATGATGATGATGAAGAAGGAGAAGCTGATGATGATAATAAATCTTATCACTCTGCAGCCATGTCGGAGATCAATGATCAAATAAGACAATTTTCAGAAGAAACTGACAGTGAAGCTGTTGGTGAAGGTAGAGGGGATGATGATGATGATTCTGCAACCATGTTCAAATTCATTGAAGAGCAAAGAATGGAAGAGATTGCAGATCAAGAGATGATAGAAAAGACGGGTGAAATTTCAGAAGAAGAGCTTTCTCAAATGAAAGCTTTCAAAATGCTCTCACTGCGATGCGTCGGTCATAAAGGAGAAATTCCAACAATGGTGGAAGTTACCAAAGAACTAGAGAAAATACAAAGATCTCTCAATATTGCCGACTCCTCTTCTCCTTTTCCTTCAGGTGAAAGCCAATTAAACTTTGCTCAAGACATGTCTTCCACAGTCGTCCTCTCAAACCAGACTACAAACACATAGGCATTGCTTACGTGTATCGCTTATGCTTTCAGGTATTTCACGAAATGATACAATGGCTTATGTTGACCTGGTTTCGGTTTCTCAGAAGAAAGCAATTAACGAATGTGTTTGTAATAAAGACATTATGAAGCTTTTCTTTTAATTTTGTCAGATCTCACCTTAGTGCTTTGTGTCTGTATGTTTTGACCTTTTGGTTTGATCGACCCATCTGTTTTGATTAGTGTTATCAAGAGATTTTATGCTACGCACCGAATTTTTTTTTTTTTAAATTATAAAAAAATCAATATGTTGTATAAAATCACTCTATTAAAAAGTATACAATTTTGCTAAACTAATTTAATTGACACGATTTATTTTGGTTAAAACATTAGTATTATGACCAATAATATAATAATATTCAGAAGTAACCAAGTTTTATATGGGATAAAGAAATACAAAATTTTGTATATCTATTTGGACAAAAATCTGTTTTTTTTGACTAATTTAATTGTAACCATTTACATATAGCGCTTTCTTCTCACTATCATCGGCTCTTGCCATCAACATTGTTGAATGTTTATTAATAAGCGAACCCCAAATCCCCAACCTCTGTTTTTTTTTTTCCCCCAACCTCTGTTATTCTACTTGTTTTTGCACAAAGAAAACATGACTTGTTTATTGTTTGCTTGTCCATAATAAACAAAAAGAGATGCCGAAAATGAGTTGAGCTGATGAAATACAAAAGACAAAAATTTATCAGAAAACATCAAATATCGTTGTCTTGTGAGGCCATGAAAAGAAGCAGAAAGTAAGAATTATAGCTTATAATGTAGAACGTTTAACTTACGATGTGCATGCAATAATCTCTTCTTTTCCACTTGTTTACATCATCTAATTCCTTAACGAAGTAGTTCCGCTGGAGCTTTATAACTTCTCTTCACCGTATCAAGTGTCAACCGAAGGGGAGTCGAAGTGTTTCCTTGGTTTGGTAAGCTTTGGCGGTTTGTTTCCGGTGGCCTCTGGTCCCCTTCGTAGTAGTGGTGAGTTTTTTGTCCTTCTTGTCCCTTTCGGTTAGGTTAGTTTTTTGTGCTTCAGTGAAAGGTCGGGAACATTCGAGGAGGAAGCTAGTCATGCTATCCTCTCCGGCGGTACTGAGGCGTGGAAGAAATATGAGGTGAGGCGGAGGTGTGGCCGTAGCGGGTGTAGTCCGTGCTGGGATCGAAGTCGATGCCGAGCCAGATCCCTCTCGGATGAGGGCAGTAGAGGGAGTTAATTGGGAGTAGGCGACTAGCGAGCCGCCGTGCATCTTAACCTGTTTAGCTTTCGCGGCGGAAGTCGCCTCATATTTCGGTGGGTTGTGCTGCGTGTGTAAGGAGGGGAGTATATCGTGTTCATGTTTCACAGTGCTCTAGACTTCGGCGGTTTAGCTTTCTTCTCTTTCGTTTGCAAACTTAATCATTATTTCTTCCAAATATCTTTGTCGCAGAGGTGGGGTGGGGAGAGTAACAAAAGTCCAAGTCCTCAAATCTCTTTTCCAACATAGTCAACAAGAATTGAGTACCATAAAAAAATTATCTAAAATATCTCATTTCGTTTTCAACTCATTGTGCGAGCCTTGAATCATCTGGTTCATTTGATTTTAATGTAAAGTTCTTTTTTTGTTTTTCTCTCTATTTTCTAGTTTTTGTTTTGAGATGGATTGGCTGAGGAACAAGATGAAGAAGAAGCCAACAAAATCTGATATAGTAGCGAACGAGAGAGGGGCAAAGTTGTTAGAAGAGCTGATAGAATGTTGCAATGGCAAATCCAATCCCATCAAATTCTTCTCTGCTGATCAGATCCTCAATGCCACTGACAGTTTCAGCAAATCTAATTGTCTTTCCAAAATATATGGTTATGGCTGCTACGACTGGACCAACTGGTATTCAGGTAAGAACGAGAACCACCGCAAAATACTCGTCAAGATATTCGGTATAGATCGAGATGGAAGTATTAGCAGGGACATAGCAGTATCATCGATGGTGAGTGGTCACAAAAACTTTATGAAATTGGTTGGATGCTGTCTCGAGTTTGAAAATCCAGTCATGGTTTATGATGGTGTCAAGAAACATTACAAATTAGATATAAGTAAAGAGACGTGGAAAAGGAGAATGAAGATAGCTGAGGATATCGCCACTTCTTTAGCTTACCTTCACACCGCCTTCCCAAGGCCCTTAGTATATAGGATATTTTCTCCTGGGAATATCTTAGTGGATGAAGATGGTGTTGGGAAGCTGACTGATTTCTCTCACTGCGTCTCAATTCCCGAAGGAGAAACATTTGTCAAGGTTGATAATCGAAAGGGATTCTTTGGTTCCCTTACCGACCTTAATTACCGGAAAAATAGAGTCGTCTCGGAGAAAACAGATGTCTTTGCCTTTGGAGTTTTGATATTGCAAGGATTTCTAATTGGAGATAAAAGATCTACGAATATTTGGGTAGAAGCCAGTATTAAAGGTTACAGTGAAAGGAATGTTGGTGATGACTCTCATCAATTTTGGATGTTAAAATTTGGGGGAAAAGATAGAAGAATGGATGTGATTGCAGATCCACAGATGATAGAAAAGATGGGTGAAATTTCAGAAGAAGAGGTTTCTCAAATGAAAGCTTTCCTAAGGCTCTCACTAAGATGCGTCGGTCATAAAGGTGAAATTCCAACGATGGTTGAAGTTGCCAAAGAACTAAAGAAGATACAAAAGGTCTCTTTTTCTCCTGTAGGTGAATTCACCCAATTCAACTCTCCCCAAGATGTTTCTTCCTCTTCCTAAGTCGTTGTTAAACAAGACTTAAAAACACATATTCATTTTGCATGCCTGCCTTGAGATATTTCACGGAATGTTTCAATGCGTTAAGTTGTGCTTGTTTCAGTCCTTCACAAAAAAAGAAAAAAAAAATATAATAATAATAATAATAATAATCTAAGAGTGTGCTGAAAATTAGCTATGTTTGTTTGTATTAAGAGCTTAGTGCTTTTGTCTGTGTTTTGGGTTTGACTTTGATCGATTCTTGTGTTTTCATAGTGTTGCGCCATGGTTAAAGAAAATCACCGTGTTAAGAAATATTACAGCTTAGATATTAGCGAAGAGCCGCGGAATAGGAGAATGAAGGTAGCAGAAGATATATACGAGTATGTGTCTTGGGAATATCTTTGTTGGCGAAGATATTACAGCTTTAGCTTACCTTCACATTGCGTTCCCAAGGCCTTTTGGTACATACGAGTATGTGTCTTGGCAATATCTTTGTTAGTGAAGATGGTGTTGTGATGCTAAGTGATTTCTCTTGCACGGCTCGATTCCAAAAGGAGAAGTATTTGTCCATGTTAACAAAGTAGTGGGGACGTATAATTACTTGGACGATAAGTACATGTCATGAGAAGTGGCGTGGTCTCGGAGGAAACGGATGTATTTCCCATTGGGATGTTCATGATATATCGTGAAGGTGATGGTAATGGTGATGACTCTATAAACATGGCAAAGATGAAGTTTATAAATTGGATTTTACATTTCATGGAAGAGGGGAGAGTGAATGAGATTGCTGAACCAAAGATGTGTGAAAATTGAGAACTAGAGCTTTGTCAAATGAAAGCTTTCTTGATGCTGTCACTGAGATGCGTTGGTCATAAAGGGAAAGTTCCAACGATGGTGGAAGTCGCAAAAGAAATGAAAAAGATACAAAGATCTCTTAAACCAGACTTTAAACATAGAGATCCTTCTGGTGAAACCGAATTCGACTCTGCTCTAGACATTTCTTCCCAAGACATCCTTATGGACATGGTTTTGTTCTAGAGTAGTACTGGTAGATAAACACAAATATCGCTTATTGTGCATTTATTGCTTCCAATTACCTTTACGTAAAAGTGGGTTGAGGACTTAGAAAAGTCCAAGTCCTCGTTATTTTGAATATTCAACAACATTGTAATTTAGTGTAACCTAATCTAAAAGCATCCATTTAGCTAACGAAATGGATGCGATATCATGAAACAAACAAGTACGATGTCTTATAATATTAAGCATCAACCAATATAAGAGCATGATGCGATATGAAACAGTATTTATGCTACGTCAAATATTTTGAGTGTGTCATCATATATATCGAATATTCTGAAACTTTTTGAACCTACACCATATGCTGTCTTCTACTATTCTAAGTTTCTTAAGCTAAAATACTATAACAACATTAAAACTAAACAAAATCGATAAATTTACGTATTACATATTCATGTGTTCGTGTTTGATTTGACATGCGAGTTCGTTTAAATTCCTATATTGTAATTTCAACACTCTTAGAGAAGCTTTTAGAATCGACTTTACAAGTGGAGGAGATACAACACATGTTTTTGTGTTGTAACTTGAACTCCATGAATGTGTCTATCTATATATCTTCCAATTATGTTTACGTGGAAGTTGGGGAACTTGGTAAAGTCGTCAAGTCAACAATAAAAATTGAGTACCTTAAAAATCTTATCTAAAGATATTCAATTTTTATGGTCATTTGATTTCGAAGTACTTTTCTTTTGATTTGGTTTCAAGATGGATTGGTGGCAAAGGAGGAAGAGAAATAAGAAGCTACTACTAATGAGAGGGGCAAAGTTGTTAGAAGAGTTGATAAAATGTTGCGATGGCAAATCCAATCCCATAAAATTCTTCTCTGCTGATGAGATTATCAAAGCCACAGACAGTTTCAGCAGGTTTAATCGTCTTTACGAGTTCAACAGTTTCAATGATTTGGTTTTTCTCAATCCTCCTGTCAACTTTGACTGCCAATGGTATTCAGGTAAAAACCAGAGCCAACACAAAATACTCGTCAAGAAACTCTATATATACGGAGATGAAAATATGATATGCAGGGACATAGCTGTATCATCAATGGTGAGTGGTCACAAAAGCTTTTTAAATTTGGTTGGATGTTGTCTCGAGTCTGAAAATCCGGTTATGGTTTAAAGTGATGTTAAGAAACATAACAAATTAGATATAAGTAGAGAGACATGGAAAAGGAGAATGAAGATAGCTGAGGATATCGCCATTGGTTTAGCTTACCTTCACACCGCGTTCCCAAGGCCATTTGTGTATAGGTGTATGCGTCTTGAGAATATCTTTGTGGATGAAGATGGTGTCGCGAAGCTGACTGATTTCTCTCTTTGCGTGTCAATTCCACAAGGAGAAACATTTGTTCAGGTTGATGATAGTCTAGTAGAGTTATATTACTACGCAGACTTTAATAGTTACCCGAAAAGTAGCGTCATTTCGGAGAAAACAGATGTGTTTGCCTTTGGAATTCTGATATTGCAACGCCTTCTTATTGGAAGAGAAGGATCTTGGCAGATTTGGGTAGAAGCCAATAAAAAAGGTTACAGTGAAAGAAATGTTGATGATGACTCTCATCAATTTTGGCTGTCGAAATTTTGGAGGGGAGAACGAAGAATGGAAGAGATCGCAGATCAAGATATGCTAGATAAGATGGTGGCTGATGTTTCAGAAGAAGAGCGTTGTCAAATGAAAGCTTTCCTAATGCTCTCACTGAGATGCGTAGGTCATGAAGGGGAAATTCCAACGATGGTGGAAGTTGCCAAAGAACTAAAGAAGATACAAAAGATCTTTTTAGTAACGACTGCTTCAAGACCTTTCTTCCTCAATGGGTTGAGTTGAGCTGGTTTCAGTTCTTCAGTAAGAGATAGTTACATTAATATTTGTTTGTATCAAGACCTTTAGGGTATATGTATGTGTTGTGGATCTGATCGATCCTTCTGTTTTCATTAATGTTATCAAGAGATATAAATTCATACACATGGTGGCACGGGTCAAAAGTGATCGAAACAACATAAACCCGTGATATTAATATTTATGTTTTTGTTATTTTTTGAAAAGTAATATTTTTTTAGTATTTTTTTATAGTGTAATTAAATTTTGTATTGAATGATTGTCATAAACATTTATTTATTTTTAAGAAAATTAAAGTTTTAAATATTTTTCCACTAATAATGAGAGAGTAAAACCTTACTTTTATATATATGATTAATATATTTGTATCTCTTAGTAAATTTAAATTTAAATATACAGCACAGATTCGATTCTAGTTAATTCTTTAAGATACAACATTCATACCTCTCTCTCTGGTCTTTGAGATGGGTTGGTTTAGGAAGAAGAAGGCAAAATACGATATAGTTTCCAAAAGAGGGGCGATGTTACTAGAAGATCTCATCGAATGCTGCGATGGCAAATCCAATCCAATCAAATCCTTTTCTGCTGATGAGATCTGCAAAGCCACCAATAATTTCAGCGACTCGAATCATATTTCCAAATTATCAAATTCTGACTACAGATGGTATAAAGGTAAAACAAAGAACCATCAAAAAATACTCATCAAGAAACCTGAAGAGGGCTTATATATCTACCGAGAGGGACACTTGTGCCGGGACATATCAGTTTCATCAATGGTTAGTGGTCACAAGAACTTCTTGAAATTGGTTGGATGTTGTCTTGAGTTTGAAGATCCAGTTATGGTTTATCACCGTGTTAAGAAATATTATAGCTTAGATATTAGCGAAGAACCGTGGAGTAGGAGGATGAAGTTAGCAGAAGATATAGTGACTGCTTTAGCTTACCTTCACACTGCGTTCCCAAGGCCTTTTGTACATACGAGTATGTGTCTTGGGAATATCTTTGTTGATGAAGATGGTGTTGTGATGCTGAGTGATTTCTCTTGCTGCGTCTCGATTCCAAAAGGAGAAACATTTGTACAGGTTAAGAAAGTAGTGGGAACTTATAATTACTTGGACGATAAGTACATGAGAAGTGGCGTGGTCTCGGAGGAAACCGATGTATTTGCCATTGGGATGTTTATGATACTAAAGCTTTTAACCGGAAAAGAAAGCTTTTTGGAGTTTTATCTGGAGGGAAAAGATGAAGATAAAGATGATGGTGAAAGTGAAGATTATGGTTCTGATAATGAATATGAAAGTAAGATGAGAAGACGTCTTCAGAAATGGCTGTCGAAATTAAAGGAAGACCGAGTAATGGAAGAGATTGTAGATCCAAAGATGCTAGAAATGATGGGTGGTGTTTCAGAACTAGAGCTTTGTCAAATGAAAGCTTTCCTAACGCTCTCACTGAGATGCACCCGTCATAAAGGGGAAGTTCCAACGATGGTGGAAGTCGCCAAAGAACTAAAGAAGATGCGAAAATATCTTAATAGCGAGGCTTCTTCTTCAGGTTAAGTTTGATCTGATTTCGGAGTTACATTCATGTTTGTTTGTATCAAGACCTTATTAGAAGCTTGTGTCTCTGTGTTGTGGCACTGCTCGATCCTTCTAAATTCATACACATGGTGGCACAGGTCAAAAGTGATCAAAACAAGATATGATGCTTCTCAATGCCTTTGTACTTGAGATGTCACGAAGAGAGTTAACAAAGATGTTATCAAGTTCGAAGATCTTTGATTTCTCATTTGTTGCATACAAAAACAACCAAAGGTTTACATACCAAATGAATATTAAAGATGAAAATTAAAATTAAAACTAAAGGGTCTTTGTTATCAAGTTCGAAGATTTTTGATTTCTCATTTGTTGCATACAAAAACAACCAAAGGTTTACATACCAAATGAATATTAAAGATTAAAATTAACACTAAAGGTTACATAAAACCAAATGATGAAAAGATGGTTTACATGAAGATCTGTTGAATCATCGTTCCCTTTATCAGCTGCAGCTACAACAACATAAGCTAGCAATCAGACTCCAACCCATAACTGTCAAACAAATATGTAGATATTTCCATCATATATACCCGATTCAGTTAATGTCGCCTTACTTAATAAGTTATAACCAAATAGTATAAATCCACAGCTGCGAAGATAGCATAACAAAATACATAAAGACTCCTCGGTTTAAAAATTTTTGTTCATTGTAATTGTGTAGTGGTCTACCTTTGATTGCTATGGGAGAAGTAAAAGTGGAATCATCTTCTCCTGGCAGGTTGTTGCACTTGTGCGCCTCCTGCTTGTCCACCAGTTGGTTCTTCAGCCATGTTTGATGCTTGTGTCACGGCGTTCATCACTACGAGTCCCAGTGGTATCAAATACATCCACTGCGTATCATATGAAATTTACATCAAGATTTGAAACAAAAGGATTCATCAAAAGATCTTTGTTGTATTACTCACATATTTCGCCCAAAATGATCTCTCTGGTGGTGGTTCAACTTCTCCCTCTGGATTCTCACTTCCTAGAATCTCCTCAGTGAATATTGGAGTTCTGCAGAACAGTCAGATCAAGATAAGCTAGGATATTAGTTATTGGACTAAGCGGTGCTGCGGTGGAGGCGAAGATGTCTATTGATATCACTTGACGAACTGACAAAAAGATTTATGGTATCTAGAACACATGCCGAAGATAAATATGCAGGCTCATGCAAAGTTATGCCATTTGATGCAAAAAAAACCACAATAATTGTTCTACCTTGGTGCCTGCTCACTGCTTTTCAGAATTGTGTGCGAGTTAAACGACCATTTTGCTGGCTACACAATATACAAAAAAAGAGAAACATAGATTAGATTGCATGATAATCAAAGCCAGAAGCTCTTACAAAACTGTAACCTTCTTCCACCATAAAAATATAGGGTTTCAGAGTTCAAGTGGCAAGAGATGTAATAGAACCCAAGGTTGGATTCTATCAGAAAATATCACTATTAGGGACGCTTAGAGAGACCAGTAAATCTCCTACTTTGTTTATTAGAGGAAACAGTTAGCTCTAACCACTCCAAAACAAAAGACTATCCTTCCATGGGAGGACATTTACCCTCATATATAGGGCACAAGCAAACAGAAAGGGATTTAAATATGCAGAAAGTCAATTAGAGACACACAAAAAAACTCACAAAACATGGCAGCAGACACCCAACATTCCTCAGTCCAAACCACACCAAAATTCACACAATTATGTAATGTTTACAATGATCCTAAGACCATATTCTCGCATGTCTTATCTTCTTATGGTATTTCCTAAAGAAAGTACATGTCGATCTATCAACATATTATAGAACGCTTATAGATAGTCCACTTCTGCTGCGTAATAGAGAAAGAGGGTGCAATACTGTACTCTAGAATATGACTCAAAATATGTTTATCCCAGAATAACTGACAAACATAAAATTAATGACTTAATTACATCATCTGCATTCATAACCTATCAGTACATCAGAAGCTAGACCAAAGGCAAGAAGGGATAAGTCCATGTCCTATTTATCTCAGTTAGAGTTTAAAATAAAAAGAGAAATTGTGATCACTTACAAGTTTGAACTGTCTAGGATATTGACACGCCCCTGGAGAACCATAACTAACAGCTAAGATGTTGGCACCTTCCTGCAAACGGAGACAGTATAGCAAGTAAACTAACTGAGCAAAACACAGTTTTGAACCATATTCATAGTCCCAACTTTCTCTGTTATTCACAGAGTAGAATTTAAGGTGCAATCAAAACTAAGCTAGCAAACGTTTATATAAAAAAATTAAAGGAATTACCATGTGTATAATGAAATGCTCATCCAAGCCATCCCGTGGTAGACATCTCTGTAACCAAACATGTATATTGTTTAAAACCAAACACATAATCACAAATGCGGGGAAAGAAAAAAAGAAAACAAAATTACAGAACACAGAGATTTTAACAAGTCTAGGTTCTCTTTGATCTGGCATAGAAAAAATATATAGATGTGTTTTACAGAACGCCTAGTCCTTTCATTCCAAACAATTTCTACAAACAAGCTCCCTTATCTTAAAAGAGTAGAGTATTACTAGAATGCTGTAGCCTACTATGAGTTCAATAAGTAAAACTACATGAACTAATCTTCAATCTAACAGCAGCCACATTGGTTACAAAGAGTCTTTTGTACAGAGTAAAAAAGCCTGTAATTTACATTTCCAGACTTCCGAAAGACCAAGGAAAAGTCTTGAAGTACATCGGAAAATAGAAAATCAAACCTAAAAGGTCGACAGTAAACTTACAGCTCTCACTGATGCAATCACATACTCTCTCCCCGGTGGACTGACCACATTAGATGGAAGCCGAATCCGATAAAAGTCATCTCCTTTCAACAGTTTCTACATATAGGTTCCAACAAAAGTATTATATCACTCAATTCCAAGGAAATTAGAGAAAACAGCTGATAACAATAACACTAGAACATTACCTTGAATGCATCTTTCTCTTCATCAGAAAAATCATTCCTTGAAAAACGCAGCTTCGTTAATGTCTGCATCCACACCAGATCAAAGTTAGTTAATTAGTGAATCATTAACAATCTTAATGAGGTTGTTCCTTCAATTTGCTTGTAGCGATCTATAACTCAATTCACTTCAGAGCAAAGCCAATTCACAGAATTTGCAGGTTAAACTAAATAAGATCGAAGTTAGATGCGATCCAAAATCCTAACACCAATGAACTAAATCTCGAACGATGCGATTCAATCATAACGATACCTTTCCGCCATGGCTCCAAGTTTTGAGACGAGCGGAGAAAGTACCAGCGGGGGAGAAATCAGAGTCTCCAAAGGCATGTTCGAGAGTAAATTGGACTTTCGAATCCAAATCGGTAGGATCTGAGTACCTTCTCCGAATAGTAGGAGTCTGTTGCTGCTGCTGCTGTGGCGAAGAAGAAGAAGAAGAAGATGAGGGAGAAGAGGTGTAAGGATCGGTGGAGCGGGGCTTTCCTCCTTCAAGACCAAATTCATCGTCGTCAACGAGGAGCTCGTCTGATTGGAAAGCGATGGATGAAGAGAAGATGAGAAAGGAAAGGAAGAAGAGAAGTGCGAGCTTCGCCATTGTTTCCGGCGATGGAGAGTTTATGTATGTGTAGATCACCAGAGTAGTGGTATCGGAGGAGAAGGGCCGTCGAGTCAATATATCTCGCTCGGGCGATCGAGTTTTGTTTAGAGAGTCTGATAAATCTGAATTTTCAATAGAAAAAAAAAAATTATCTCATTATTTTTAACAAAAATTTGGGACATATTTATGTGTTATAGTTGTTTATTAATGCATATAGAAAATATAAACTAAGAATTTTTTACTTATTTATATAACTGTTGAAAAAATAAATTTCTTTTATTTACATATTCATAAATGTATTCGACCAAAAAGAAAAAAAAAAATCATAAATGTAGTTATTTAACTATCTTTTTAAAAATATTATAAATTTAATTTTTACCAATTGATCCAGCCAAAAATCACAATTACATTCCTTAGATTGAAAAATGGATTTAGCCAAATTCAGGCGGATTCAACTGTTACCATTTAGACGCATTGTTATTTTATTTTATTTTAGTATTTTGTTCAACTAGTACCAGCTTACACTGAACAAAATGGTCTAAGAAAGTTTTGGAGGAAACATTTGATTTTGTAAAAACCATGTCAAGAGCAAGACTAATCCAACATATAAGTGTTATATATGACCAGTTCATATTTGTTTCTCACACTAAATACTAGTAACATGAAGAGAATTACTTTAGACCTAGATGTCTAAATTTTTACTTTTTACTTTCACCACCTACGTACATGTGCAGTGGCTTGACGCATCTTTGTCAATATAACTAGAAACCAAGAGAACTAAACGTGAGATGTGTGAAAACACTCAAAGCATAGAAGTAGGGATGTTATCGTGGACAGATTTTAGTTGGACATAAACGGATTTTCATAAAAATTTAAGTTTATTTAACGTTAGTGTCTGTTATAAGACTTACCAGACATAATTGGTCGAGCCCGTTTACGTCCATTTAATAAACTGGCTTTCACAAATTTAGATGGACAGTCCATTTAACGTCATCATCAATGTAAAAACCAAGACGACATCGTTATTGTCTAAGTCTATAACCTAGTCTCTTCTTCTTCTCAACCATCTTATTTCTTTCAAACTCCTATACTAAAAATGACACCGTTTAAACCAAACACTAAACATAATCTTCCGTAGACGAGATCAATACCATATAAAATATTCATCTAAAACATTAAATACACAAAATGGTTAAAAATCAACATATATGTACATAAATGGGATTTATCGTCTGGCGGGTTTTATTTTAGACGGACATAAACGGACTATAAACTTAAACGGGCATAAATGGACACAGACATAGCAAGATCTTTCCTTAAGAAAAAGGGGGTGTAAGATCCCCCTATAATGTTGCTCAAGAGTATTTGGAAGTATGAGAAACCCTATTTATCTCTTGTTTTCTCCTAGATACTAAATCAAGAAACATGTATAAAATCAACAGCAAAAGGCAATTGGATTTAGACTGATTATCAATTTTTTCGTATCATGAATTTAAAACATAACATAGAAAGATAAAAGAAAAAAAACCTTGACCAGTTTTATCGAGTCATGAAATATATAATCTTCTTTGTCAAACTCCACTGTATTAACTTAAACTTTCCAGATTACAAAAGTTACAAGAGAATCTTTACATCATCCAAAACCTACCACATAAGAAAACACTAGAGATTACACAACATAGTAAGAAACCAGATAGAATGAGAACAGTTTCATGAACCAACAACAGTGGAGAGAGTCATGATTTGGATCTTCTTTAATTCTTTGGCCACTTCCACAGCTGTTGGAACTTCCCCTTTAAAACCAATACTTCTATGTGAGAGCATTAAGAAAGCATTCATTTGACAAAGCTCTAACTCTGAACTATCACAACACATCTCTTCTAGCATCTTTGGATCTGCAATCTCTTTGATTCCTCTCTTTTCCATAAATTTAAACAGCCTAACTTGAAAAGAGTCATCATCATCTTCATACACTTCACTGTTACCTTCTTCTCTTACCCAAATCTTCCAAAATCTGTCTTCTCCGACAAGAAGATGTTGCATCAACATACCAAACGCAAACACATCAGTTTTCTCAGAGACTACATTAGTTTTCAGGTACTCAGATTCCATAGAACCAAATATTGGCATTCCTTCAACATTTACAAATGTTTCCCCTTGCGGGATCGAAACGCATAAAGAGAAATCATTCAACTTAGCTACACCATCTTCATCTAACAAGATTTTCCAAGGACACAAAAACCTATACACAAATGGCCTAGGGAACGCGGTGTGAAGGTAAGCTAAAGCAGTAGCGATATCCTCAGCTATCTTCATCCTCCTTTTCCATGGCTGCTCACTTATCTTGAATTTAGAATGTTTCTTTACACCATCATAAACCAAGAATGGATCTTTAAGCTCAACACAACACCCAACAAGTTTCATGAAGTTTTTATGACCACTCACCATCGATGAAACCGCTGTGTCGCGGCAAAAGGTTTCTTCTTCGTTGGCATGTTTCTTGATGAGTATCATCATCTCATGGTTCTTGGTTTTACCTGAATACCATTCGCTGTAATACTCATCTAGTTCAGAAATACCATTAGACTCCTCATTGAAGTCGTTCGTGGCTTTGATGATCTCGTCAGCAGAGAAGAATTTGATAGGATTGAATTTGCCATCGCAACATTCGATTAGATCTTCTAACAACGTCGCGCCTCTCGCTAATGTTAGCTTCTTATTCCTCTTCCTCCACCAAACCATCTCTAAACACACACCAAGATAATAAGTACTTTGAAAGCAAATGACCACAGAAGATTCAAGACCTTACAAAATGAGTTCTTGTAAACTAAATAAATGTTTTAAGACCTTACAAAATAGATTGTTAACGTACTCAGTTCTTGTTGACTATTCAATACTGACGTCCTTCCTCGTAAAGATAGGCTGCAACAAGGTGGGAGAGAGTTTTGACTTTTCTAAGTGAGTACTCAATACCTGTTGACTTTTTAACACTGGTCGTTCTGGTCGTTGTTGTGCTGCACAGAAAAAAAAAATGTTTTCGATAATGAATCAAGTGAGATACTATTGAGTCTAAACAAGAAAATGAAAAAGAAAAATTGATGCTAGTTTATGTAGTTGTAAGCACACATATAAACTTTCGTATATGAATTCAATTATTTATTTGAATATAATTAATATATATTTATTTAAATACAAATACTTACAACTAATAATAGTAAAATAGTCTTTTCTTTTAATTATGCAACACGCGGATGATTTTCCTGATTTATAAGATATTAGAAGGATTTATAACGGTTTACAAAGTATTTATATATTTAAAAAGTGACAGAAAATAACATTAACTCCTTTTCAATTAATATATATCAACAACGATTTTTTTCCGAAATAACTTAATAGTTTAATCAACTGTAATTTGTTTTTCTATTTCTAATATAATAATTTTTTTAATCTCTGTACAGAATTTATTTTTATGATAGGTTTAGTACTTTAATAGTTTATAATTTTTAAATAATTTAGTATATTCTAAATTGATATGTGTCAACATTTTTTTAATACAATTGACACTTGGATTGATCCATGATGTTACAGTGCTTGTTGTCAGTGAACTTATCATTTGCTAATGATTAACTTTAAAAAGTAAATTAATATAATAAAATTTAAGTCTTCCTCTTCAAATATTTAGCGAGATTTGCACAACTAATTTTTGTATAATATCATTTTCTACAAGTACCTTATCTAGGTGTCCATTTTAAAAAGTACCCTCTTCAATGTATAAAATGACTAAATTACCCTCTTTTATTATAACTCATGATGAAGAAAGGAATATTCTTTTCAACAAAAAGAATATTCCTTCCGAACAATTTCCCGCCAAATTTTCCCGCCAAAAATTTTCGGCAAAAAAATTCCCGCCAAAAATTTCCGACATAAATTTTCCCACCAAAAAATTTTCGACAAAAATTTTCCCGCCAAAATTTTTCCGCAATTCCTTAAAACAACCTTGTAAATATTTTTAAATCCCTAAATAATCTTTTAAAAACCCTTGTAAATCTTTTAAAAGTCATCCAAAACCTTTCAAACTTGAGTAAACCTTTTAAAACTATTGTAAATCATTTTATAACATTTATAAACACTTGTAAATCCCTTTAAACCCCTAATAACCGTGATAAATTATTTAATAAAAACTTTTGTAAACTTCTAAAACCCTTTAAAAACCCTTGTAAATCCTTAAAAACCATTTTAAAGAACTTCTAATACCTTTAAAACTTTTGTAAACCTTTTAAAACTTCTTGTAAATCCCTTAAAACTATTTTTAAATCTTTGTATGCCTTTAAATACGCTTTTAAATCCTTTTAAAAACACTTGTAAATCCTGTTAAAAAACCTTTAAAAATCCTTGTAAATTTTTAAAATCCTTGTAAATTTTTAAAATCCTTTAAAAATCCTTGTAAATCCTTGTAAATCCTTTTAAAACTGTTATAAACTTTTAAAAACCATTGTAAATCATTTAAAACCTTTGTAAGCTTCTAAAACTCTTTAAAAACTATTACAAATCTTTTAAAAACCATTTAAAAAATCTTGTAAATCCCTTTAAAAACCCTTGTAAACCCTTTAAAAGACCCTTTAAAAAATCTTGTAAACCCTTTAAAAAACATTTTGCGTGAAAATTTTTGTGGAAATTTTTTTGGCGGCAAAAGTTTCTCGGAAAAATTTTTGGCGGGAAAATTATTCTCGGAAATTTTTTTGGCGGGTAAGTTTTTGGCGGGAAATTGTTGGGGGGAAATTTTTTGGAAGGAATATTCCTTCCTTTGGGAAAGAATATTCTTTCAAATGGCCATTAAAATTTAAGAGAGGGCATGAAAATGGCAAAAAAGATGGTATTTTTAAAATAGGGTATCATAAAAAGGTTATTGGTATCAATTTCTCAAATATTAACATATTTTTTGTAGGGGTAATTTCAAAAATACCCCTTTTCATATACCTCTTTTTAAAAATACCCCCTTTTCAAACTTCATTAGAAAACCCAATAAAAATGTTGAAATTTATCCAATTATGTGTGTAAGCTTATAAATATATACAGAAATTACCTTTATGTGTGTATAAAAATTTATATACCTTTCATAAATAGCGTAAAAATAAATTATAAAACCTTATAAAAACCGTATAAACCCTTTTAAAAACCTTATAAAACTTATAAAAACGATTTAAAACTATTTAAAACATTTTAAAATATTTGTATCGAATCTCCCAGTAGTAGTTATTATATAGAAGTACTTTATAAACTATATAAAACTTTATAATTTTTTATATTTAAAAAGGGGTATTTTTTAAAAATGATAGATAAAAGAGGTATTTTTAAAAAGGGGTACACCAAAAATGGTATTTTTCAAAAACTCTCTTTTTTGTTTAGTTTAAGTGACTAAAATTTACTATGTATTATTTTAGAATAAATTCCACCTAAAAATTTGTGTCATGCGTAGGATAATAATATTAATGCAATTGATGTAGATCTAGTTAGCAAATATTTAAAGACCAGCTGAGAGTTTTAATTCTATTATTTTATTATAAAATATGGTGTTCAAAACTAGTCATTAACAAGATTATAACACGCATTAAGTATATCGATCATATGTAAAAGTTGACATTTCTCAAATAATGTACTAGGACTGTTTTTTCAAAAAAAAAACATGCTAATTTTTACGTGTTATCTCAATTATATTTTGACATGTATAAAAAATCATTTAGCATGGAAATTAACAAATAATAATGAATAATGAAATTAAGAATATCAACATAGGTTATTAACATTAATGTAATTATATGAGATTTTTATTTATTGTTGTAATATAATATTTTGTAATTAAATCACAAAAAAATAACTTGAAACAAATAATGAGCTTTAAGAATGGATTTTTAAATAACTAAATGAGATTATATATATTAGAAAGGTTTTATACAAGTTCTATTTTATAGTTTTTAATTCATGAAGTAATGTAAAAACACAAATAATTGGAAAATGAGCCTACATGAATGGATTTTAAATTACTTGATGAGAATTGATGAGAATGTTAGAATATTTTTATTTTATCAATTTGAGCTCAATTAAAATTAGTTTGACATTAAGTACAATTGTTAATTCCAATATTTTGGCATATATATTTAGCAAATATTGGAGTTCTAAACAAAGTTATGGATTTTGTTTTATTTTAAAACATATTAGTTATTTTAGTACTATATAGATTTGACATGATGCCAATATAATTTTTTTATTAGAATTTTAAATCTTATCCATGAAAAAGAAGTTGTGCAAGTAATAAACGGTTAAAAAAATAAAATAGATATATAAATTTTATTGCAAATAAAATTTAATTTCTAAGGTTGAAATTCAGTGTGAACTAAAATAATCAAGTTTTGACATGTATCATATTTTTAATTCATTTAGTGTCTATTTTATGTAATATAAAATGGATGTTGAAGTTCAAAATAAATATATATATATATATATATATATATATATAGAAATTTTAAGAAATAGCCTTTTTAGAGTACCTTTTTACTAAAACGGTCTTTCATCAATCAATTTTTAAAAATACCCTTTTATTAATCTGAAACATTAAAAAGTTTATATAATTTATAAGGTACTTCTTATAGTAACTGAAAGACTCTATCCAAATATTTATAAGGATTTAAAAGGTTTTTACAAGTTTTTGAAAAATTATTTATAATATATATATATATATTATTTATATATATATATATATATATATAATTTTACACACATATAAAGGTAATATCAAAATTTTATTTGGTTTTTAATAAAGTTAGAAAGAAGTGATATCTTTGAAAATGTGGCATTGTAGAAGAGATTTATTTGAAATTCCTCCATTAAAATTACATCAGAGATATAACCAAGATTTGAAGTTTACGTTCAACAATTGAGTTCTCGTAAGGTATATGCACAAGTAATGTCATGTTTATGCAAAAGATTAGGAAATGGAAGTTCCTGAGCATTATCAGTTCTAATTATCTACTATATATTGCAATAAAGTATTTATACTTTCAGCAATTCTATGGACCCCAGAATAACATCTAAATGAACTAAATCAAATGGTAATATAGACCTATATATGACAAGTATTTATATAATAAATATAACATAGTGATATTTTTAAATTCCTCCCTTTTTTATGATTTTTCAATTTTTTAAAAATTATATTTTATTATTTTTTATTTCAATTCTAACTAATATACAAATGATTTGATATGATGTATATTGTGATTCATATAAATTCTTTAGCACTCGTTTTGTTCTTTAAATTTTTCATTTTGAAAAAGATAAATGTATCGCCATCTTTGTTTTGTTGTGAATTTATTGCTTGTTTTCACTTTGGATTCTCTTATCTTTTTCGTATATAGTATAGTATTTTTGCAACACTTTTTGCAAAAAAAATAATATTATAGCCCACATTTAGTACTTTTGATGCATTTAATGTTTTGTAAAATAATCAATGCAAAAAAACATTTAATTCCTTTCTCTTATATAAATAAATATTTAATATTAATTTTCAATTTTGAATTTTCTTCTCTCATTTCATCTTTATATGATATATATTTATTATTATTTTATTACATTAAACATATATAATAATAAAAATACAATTATCACATATGTTGCAATTTGAGAAATGCCCCTTTTGGTGTACCCCTTTTTAAAAATACCCCTCTTTTCTATCCATTTTCAAAAATACCCCTTTTCAAATATGAAATATTATAAACTTATATATGGTTGTTAAGGTATATCAAGATCATCATTACTACTGGAAGACTAAATCCAAATATTTATAAGGTTTTAAAAGGTTCTAAACGATATTTATAAGGTTTTTATAAGGTTTTTATAAGGTTTACACAGTTTTATAAGGTTTTTAAATGATTTTTAAAAGGTTTTTAAAAGGTATTTATACAGTATTTATGATATATATATATATATATATATAAATTTACTCACATATAAAGATAATTTGTCTCTATAAATATAAGTTTACATATATGTTTTGATAAATTTCAAATTTTATAGTGACTTTTTGATAAAATTAGAAAGATGAGTATTGTTAAAAAGTGGTATCGGAAAAGGGGTATTTTTGAAATTCCCCCTTATTTTTTTAAAAGTTGGTTGTGTATCCTCATACATTGGTCTTATTGAATGAGATATACTCTTGATTTGCAAATGATTATAAGTTGTTATACGACATATCTATGGAATAATTATTACAAATTTTGTTTGTTTTAGAAATAATATTTATACATGGGTTGTATGGTAGGATGTGTGACGGATTATATGACGAGACGAATTTGAACTTTATAATTCAAAACTACCCTTTTTCATATACCTCTTTTTTAAAATACCCCATTTTCAAACTTTACCCGAGAAGGACAAGTGCGCTAGTGGTTCGAGCCCAATCCCTCTCAAAGGAGACGTATAATTTGTAACGATGTAAAAAACAAAAACCTTATAAACCCTTTTAAAAACGATTTAAAACCATTTAAATCGTTTTAAAATATATGTATCGAATCTCCCAGTATTAGTTTTTAAATAAAAGTACCTTATAAACTATATAAAACTTTATAATTCTTAGTATTTAAATAGGGGTATTTTTCAAAATAGATAGATAAAAGATGTAATTTTAATAAGAGTAGAGCAAAAAGAGTATTTCTCAAAAATTCTGAAATTTCGCTATACTATTTTTTAACAATACAAATGTAAAACAAGTTGAATCAAACTGAAAAAATTAAGTTTGATACTTGTAGAGATCTGCAATTTCTATATTTTGGCTCGATCCCACATTTATGGTGGTTATTCTCTCTATGAAATGTAAAATATCATAAACTTTAATTAGACCATCAACTTTATTCGTATCTCATCATCAGTTTCCTGAAACTAAACTTGAGAAAATTCATCAAACTCTAGTCTCGTATAGTTTATTTACTATTTTGACTTACGAATGGCAAGAAGCAACCATACGAGAAAGAAGTAGAATTCAAGTGACATTTCAAAACTTGGACAAGTCAATTATGTTGTACAGCTTTAGTCCTTTAGACATAACATCCTATATACCAAATCTCTGATCGGACCATGTTATATAATCTAGTGCATTATTATTGCAGTAAATTCATGATCTTCTATAGTCTCCCACACGTATCTTCTACAAGTGTTACACTTCAAGTGTTACAGTTCAAGTATGGTCTCTGGAAGAGGCATGAACCGTTAAAAGAATGTTTGATGAGATAGAAACTCGAATTCACCCAACAGTCATATATATAGCACAGTTCTTCTACATTCAGATATGATTCTCTCCATGGAGTTCTATACATACAAGTAGATATGCATATTATACGATGATGACACTACTCATAAAATCTCATAAAATCATACATACACAAAGAACTAAGGTAAGATCTCATAAAATCTCTTGATGACACTACTCAAAACATATGGGTCGAGCAAATCGAAAAGGCCAAAACATACATACACAAAGCACTAAGGTAAGATCTAACAAACAAGAATCTAAAAGCTTAATAGTGAAGAATCAGGCAGTATTAAGAGATCGTTGGATCTTTTTTAGTTCTTTGGCGACTTCCACCATCGTTGGAATTTCTCCTTTATGACCGACGCATCTTAGTGAGAGCATTAGGAAAGCTTTCATTTGGAAAAGCTCTTCTTCTGAAATTTCACCCATCTTTTCTATCATTTCTTGATCTGCGAACTCATGATCCATTCTTTTCTCTTCCACCCCAAATTTCGACAGCCAAAATTGATGCGACTCATCATCAACATTCCTTTCATTGTAACCATTTTCATTGACTTTTTCCCATATCTCCCAAGATCTTTCTCTTCCAATTAAAAGGCTTTGCATAAAAAAACCGAAGGCAAAAACATCTGTTTTCTCCGAGACAACGCCACTTTTCCGGTGATCATACTCCACGTAACCATAGAATCCCAACATCGGAGTATCATCAACCTGTACAGATGTTTCTCCTTGTGGAATTGAGACACAGTAAGAGAAATCAGTTAACTTCGCGGTACCATCTTCATCCACAAAGATATTCAAAAGACTCATACACCTATGCACAAAGGGCATAGGGAAGGCAGTGTGAAGGTAAGCTACAGCAATGGCGATATCCTCTGCTGTCTTCATTCTCCTTTTCCAAGACTGTGAACTTAAATCTAATTTGCTATGTTTCTTTACATCATCATAAACAATGACTGGATCTTTAAACTCAAGACAACATCCAACTAATTTCATAAAGTTCTTGTGACCACTCACCATTGATGATACTGCTATGTCCCGACAAATAATCTTTTCATCTCCGTATCTATAGATTTTCTTGACGCGTATTTTGCTGTGGTTCTCGTTCTTACCTGAATACCATTCGGTCCAATAGTTATTACCACCAGATAAGCCGATAATGCGATTAGAGTCGCGGAAACTGTTGGTTGCTTTGAGGATCTCCTCAGCAGAAAAGAATTTAATGGGATTTGATTTGCCATTGCAACATTCTATCAGCTCTTCTAACAACTTCGCCCCTCTCTCGTTCGCTACTATCTCGGATTTTGTTGGCTTCTTGTTCTTCGTCTTCCTTAGCCAACTCATCTCAAAACGTATACTAGAAAAGGGAGAAAAAAACTTTACCATTAAAATCAAATGAACATAGGAAAGACTGTTTTGAAAATGAAATGAGATATTTAGATTAGATTTTTAAGGTACTCGGTTCTTGTTGATCATGTTGGAAAAGACATTGAAAAATACTTGGTTTACCCACTGTTCTTTACCCCCTCTTAATTAGCCAATAAAAATATAACAATATGCCATATCATTAAAAAATAAAATTAAAAATAAAATAACAAAATAAAGCAAATTAAAGAAACAATTTCTATAGGATTTTTATTAAGGAAATATATTTGGGTTTGGGTTTATAAATTAGAAGTTAGAGTTAGATTGTATGATTAAACAAAATTATATTTCGGTTTGGGTTGAGAAATTAGTAGTTAGGGCAGATGCATTGGCGTATGCAGCCAGCGTCCTTCCCCCTATTTTTATTTTAAAAAAAAAAACAAAACAGAAAAGGACGTCAGTTAAAACGGGAGCTTCCACACAAGTGTTTATTATACAAAGATAAAACTTTTATTATACAAAAACACTCTCGAGAGAATACAAAAAACTCTTAAGATTTTACACACTCGAGCTTATGATGAACACTCCTCACCAAGCTTGGTATTCATAGTACATGACTCAAGGAATAGGAGGAGAAGAAGAGTCATTAGTTATGAAGAGAATTTTTGTATCTTCTTTAGTTCTTTGGCTACTTCCACCATCGTTGGAATAATTCCTCTTTTACAACCAATGCATCTCAGTGAGAGCATTTTGAAAGCTTTCATTTGAGAAAGCTCATTTTTTGAAATTTCGCCCATCTTTTCAAGCATTTCTAGATCTGCGAACTCATCCATTCTTCGCTCTGCCATGGATTTGAACCGTCTAAAATAAGACAGATTAGCCGGCCTCAACATGGTTGCAGAGTCATCATCATCATCCCCTTCACCATAAAATTCTCCTTCTTCTTCACTTTCAGTTTCTTCTGAAAATTGTCTTCTCTGATCATTGATCTCGGACATGGCTGCAGAGCGATAAGAGTTATTATCATCATCATCTTCTCCTCCTTTTTCTCCCATTAGAAACTTTAGCATTAACATTCCAATGGCAAACACATCTGTTTCCTCCGAGACAACACCATTTCTCAAATAATTTTCGTCAATGTAACCAGTTGCTCCCGCCAAATTGTCAACCTTGACAAATGTTTCTCCTTGTGGAATTGAGACGCAGTAAGAGAAATCATTAAGCTTAGCAACCCCATCTTCATCCAATAAGATATTCCTAATACTATGACACCTATATACGAAGGGCCTTGGGAAGGCAGTGTGAAGGTAAGCTAAAGCAGTGGCGATATCTTCTGATATCTTCATTCTCCTATTCCAAGGCTGCTCACTTATATCTAGTTTGTAATGTTTCTTAAGACCATCATAAATCATGACAGGATATTCAGACTCGAGACAACATCCAACCAATTTCAAAAAGTTATTGTGACCACTCACCATCGATGATATTGCTATGTCCCGGCTAAAGGTTCCATCCCCATATCTATATAATTTCTTGACAAGTATTTTGGGGTGGCTCTCGTTCTTACCTGAATACCATTCGGTCCAGTGGTAGCATCCATAACCAGCTAATCTGGAAATATAATTAGACTCGCTGAAACTGTTGGTTACTTTGAGGATCTGATCAGCAGAGAAGAAGTTGATGGGATTGGATTTGCCATCGCAACATTCTATGAGCTCTTCTAACAACTTCGCCCCTCTCTCGTTCGCTAATATCACGGGTTTTGTTGGCTTCCGCTTCTTCTTCTTCTTATTCCTCAGCCAACCCATCTCAAAACAAAAACCAGAAAAAGAAAAAAAAGAAAAGAAAAAGTACTTTACATTAAAATCAAATGAACTAGAGAATTCAAGAACTCACAATGAGTTGAAAACGAAATAAGATATTTAGATTATAATTTTGTGGTACTCAATTCTTGTTGACTTGAGGACTAGCTTGGACAATTCTAAGTCCCCCCCCACTTCTGCGTCAAATATAATTGCAAGAAATAAGTGCATAATAACGACTAGTTTTGCAAACGAAAGAGATTCCAGGACTTTTCTAAATCTTGCATGAAATATAGAATATTCTCTGTAAAAAAATTAATAAATTCATCTAATTATATACGTTCTTCTATTAATAACAAATCATATATATCCCATCATGCTCTTATATTAATTTGACGCTCAAGCTAGACTCTCCTATACTATTTTGACTTAGAAGTAGAAAATAATCATTGCATGTTTGCTAGGTTTGGTTTTCTTACCACCAAACCTGTCCAATTCAACTGACATTTCAAAAACTTGGACAAGTCATCAATTCCTCTTGTTGCATCGCTTAAAACATAACGTAATATGCTATGCTAAACACAAATCTCTGATCAGGCCACCCGTATTTAGAAGCGTACCATACCACAGTGTTCTCGACAAGAGTTATTGTCTCTTGAAGTGGCTTAATGATTTTGATAGCTGTATTATATATAACATACATGTTTCACATGAATGTCACCGTAAAACGAATGTTTGGTGCGATAGAAACCCGAATTCACAAAACAGTCGTATAGAGTTCACATATCTACATTTATGAACCCAACTCAGTTGTATCCCATTCAACATAATTCTCTCAGTGATACACACAAGTAGATATGCATTATATCTAATAAAATCTCTTGATGATACTAATGAAAACAGATGGATCGATCAAACCAAAAGGCCAATACATACAAACGTACAAAAGTAAAAGAAAAGCTTTGGGGGCTTAATAATGTCTTTATTACAAACAAGAAACAAAGTTATTGTCAGCACATTCTTTGCTTTTTTCTGAGGAAACGAAACCAGCTCATCATAAACCATTGAAACATTTCGTGAAATACCTGAAGGCAGGCGATACACGTGAGCAATGCCTTTGTGGGAGAGGTAACGTTGTATTTATAAAAAAATGAAACTTCATAATGTCTTGAAATACAAACAAGAATCGAAGTTATTTGCAGCACAATCTTTTCTGAAAATACGAAACAAGCTCAATTAAACACATTGACGCGTTATGTGACATACCTGACCACACAATACTTGATAGCAAAATGCCTTTTGTGTTTTTAAATCTGGTTTGATGACAACTTAGGAAGAGGAAGAAACGTGTTAAGGAGAGTTGAATTGGGTGGTTTCACCTATAGGAGAAGAAGAGATCTTTTGTATCTTCTTTAGTTCTTTGGCAACTTCCACCATCGTTGGAATTTCCCCTTTATGACCGACGCATCTCAGTGAGAGCATTTTGAAAGCTTTCATTTGAGAAACCTCTTCTTCTGAAATATCACTCATCTTTTCTAGCATTTCTGGATCTGCAATCTCTTCCGTTCTTCGGTCTTCAATGAATTTGAACAGCCTAAAAAAAGACGGTTTATCCGTCCTCAACATGGTTGCAGCGTCATCATCATCATCATCCCCTTCATCTGAAAATTGTCTTCTCTGATCATTGATCTCCCACATGGCTTCAGAGTGACAAGAGTTATTATCATCATCATCCCCTTCACAGTCAGCTTCCCCTTCTTTTTTATCATCCTCATAACATTTCCATAACATTTCACCCATCAGAAGCCTTAGCATCAATATTCCAAAGGCAAACACATCCGTTTCCTCCGAGACAACCAGATTTCGAATGTATTTCTCGTCAATGTAACCAATTGTTCCCGCTAAATTGTCAACCTTGACAAATGTTTCTCCTCGTGGAATTGAGACACCTAAATGTATTTTTATAAATGTATAAATGTATTTTCCAAGCTAAACACCTAAAGAAGTTCTCGTTTTGTACCAAATCTGGTGTTGTACAAAGTGGGTTTATAAACATAAATAGTACTAATCATGCTACAACACGGATATGATTTAATATATTTTACATTTTAAAACAAAGTTTTGATATGTTATATTAGTTTATACATCATGATTTTATATATATTTATAGTTATTCTCGTAGTATGTTATAAGGATCATAACTTATTCTATCATATAACACATTATAGTTAAACTAGTTTAGTACCCGTCCGATGGACGGGTTATCTTTATTTTAAATTAAATGAAAATAAAAATTTATTATAATTTATAAGAAAATAATTTCCATATCCTTTTTCTGAAAAAATAAGAGAAATTATTTTTATTTGGAAAGAGGTTTTATTTGGTTTGAAGTATCAAATATATGTGCATATATATATATCTTAAAATTCATTATTAAATGTTAATTATAAAAATCTAGTAATGTCAAACTGACAATCACCAAAACATTTGGGAGCTATTCACCATTATTCATAATATTTTAAAAATATTTTGAAAAATCTTAATTTAGCAATTATCCTCTAAAACATTATTATACCATTTTGTAAAAATTGTTATTTCTTAACTTTCAGTTTTTCAAAAAATCATTCTCAGACTATGAAAATTAATTGATTATTATTTTGTAAAGTTCTTTCAAATTAACATCAACCTAAAATATGATGTTAAATACAAATATAGTCATTTGTAAATAAGTTCATATAAACAACGCAAATAAACATAAAGATTCAAAAATAAATTATAGCGTTGAGGAAAACATTAAAAAATCATTCAAATACGCATTATAAAAAATTATATATTTTTTTAAAAAATATTTTAAAATTACTATATTTCGAATTATATTGAACTTTTGTTATATTTAATTTAAGCTTAAAATATTATTTTCGAAAATCTTTTATTCACCCTTATGTTTTAGACAATGAAATTGCTCAATGACATAATACATTCATACATAAATTAAAAATTAAACAAATATAACATATTATAAAATAAAAATCATGAATAAAAATATTTATTTAGTTAAGCTCAAAATCTATTTTATTTGTAAAATGTAAATCTTAATTCTCGTTTATGAACCCAAACTGATAAATAACCTTGTTTAATTGTAAAACCTAAATCTCACTCCTCTTTTATAAACCCAAACCGATAAATAATCTCGTTTTATTATAATCTAAACTATAATGCGCATTTATAAACTCAAACCAGCATATAACCCTTATAATTGTAAAACCTAGAACTGGCAAAACCAAAAATTAGATTAATAGTTGAAAGAGATTTTATGAGAAATGCCTCTTTTGATGTACCCATTTTTAAACATACCAATTTTCTTGCCATTTTTAAAAATACCCCTTTTAAATATGAAAAATTGTAAACTTTTTTATAGTTTATAAAGGTACATCTAGATCATATATCATTACTACTGGGAGACTCAATACAAATATTTATAAAGTTTTAAAAGTAACTAAACGGCATTTATAAGACATTTATAAGGTTTTTATAAGGTTTACAAAGTTTTTATATGGTTTTTAAATAATTTTAAAAGGTTTTTAAAAGGTATTTATACGCTATTTATGAAATATTTATATATATAAATTTACACACATATCAAGATTATTTGTGTCTATATATATGAGCTTACACATATTTTTTTAATAAATATCAATTTTTTAAGTTTTTAATTTATCAAAAATACCATTTTTCTAGTACCACTTTTTAAAAATACCACTATTTCAAACTTTATCAAAAAATCACTAAAAATGTTGAAATTTCTCCAAATATGTGTGTAAACTTATAAATATACACACAAATTACCTTTATATATGTATGAATTTTTATATATCTTTCACAGATAGCGTAAAATAACTTATAAATACCTTTTAAAAACTTTTTAAAAACCTTGTAAACCGTTTCAAAAAACCATTTAAATACCTTATAAAACGATTTAAAACCTTTTAAAACATTAGAAAATATTTGTATCAAATTTATATAATTCTTTATAATATTTATTTTATATATTTCCTTTTAATATTTATATGAAAACATTATTTAATTATTTAATGAAAATATTATATAATTCTTTATAATATTTATTTTATATATTTCCTTTTTCGATAAGGTTAATAATATTTCTATTTTATCTAAATATTAACAAAATTAAAATTGACATGTGTCAACATCTTATTGTTTATAATTGACATGTGTCACGATCTTGTTAATGGCTGACTTTGAAAACCAAGGTTTATATAATAAGATATTATAAATAGTGAAACTTTTAAATGTTCAATATAAATATTTAAGCTTATAATATTGACAATGTTCAATATTATAAATATTTATCTATACTATTAATTGGGAAGGACAACTTGAAGCCAAACACCCCCAATTTTTTTTTAAAAAAATTTCATGAAAATAAAACAAGTTGCCAAACAGAATTAATGACAGCAAAAAAAAAAACAAAAACAAAAACAAAAACAATATATATTTATGGAAATCATAATAATATTTTACTATAAAAAGTGGACAATTAAATTCAAAATTAAATATATGTAAACATATCTATTTAGAATATACATAAACATATTTAGTATTAATTTAATATTTTAATATAATTTCGAAAGTAATAATTTATATAAAATGAAATCTAATAAAACAAAACATCATATATCTAAAAAAACAAAGATAACATTTTTTTAGAAAAATAAAAAGATAAAAAAATATGTTAGGATATGAAATAATCAACTAATCAAATTCTACATAATATATATACATAACTGATCATATCATCAAATTTTAAAAAATTATATAATTTTAAAATATAAATAAAATATAAATAAATCAATAATTAAATATTTGTTTGCTAAAATAATGCGAATAAACATTCTAGATCAAATAAATTTCTTATTTTCACATAAAAAATATTCATATTCAAAAATCAATCTAGCAATTATAGCACAAATGATATCTACAAAATTTATCATTAATTCAATTAGGGAAAATACGGATACAAAAAGGGAACATGTAATTCAAAAATAAATTATCTAAACTATTTCTTATAAAAAAGGACAATATAAAAAATTTAAAAACTTAAATTCAAATTCAAATTTCAAATATCAAGTGACGGGTATGATACAAAAATATGAAATTTAAATAGAAAAAGTAAGTTTTAAATTACTTAAATATTTCAAATATCGGGACAAGAAATAACGGATACGGAAAGAGAACGAGTAATTTAATTAGTTAACTACAAGCTATATAATGTTTTTAAAAAATATGTAAATGATGTCATTTGTATAAAAAATGTATGATCTTATCTTAGAGAGAAAGAACGGAAACAAAAAGGGAATGGGTAATTCAAAAAAAAATTATCTAAACTATTTCTCATAAAAAACAAACCGAAATAAAAAATTTGTATTACTTAAATTCAATTTTAACTTTCAAATATCAGATGACGGGTATGATACAAGAATATGAAAATTTTTAATAGCAAAAGTAAGTTTCAAATTACTTAAATATTTTAAATATCGGGACAAGAAATAACGGATACGGAAAAGGAACGGGTAATTTAGAAAAAAAAATTATTATCTTAACTAACTCTAATAATATACAAAAGGGAATTATGGGTAACGGCAAGCTGAAGACGTAATATTTATTCATGTGGGTGGACCAAAATATTTCAATTTGTTGTATGGCATGCATAGTGAACGGGTTTGACTCTCCTAATATATATATATATATATATATATATATATATATATATGTTATTTTATTCAAAAGTTTTAATGTTTTTCATTAGTTTATGTGATGTGATAGTTCATAAATTTAATTGATTTCTAACTTATCACTCATTCGGTTTACATTCGATCCGGGTCTCTTATCATGTGGATGTAAATATTTTGAAACTTTATGATAAACTTAATTTTTGCAACCAACCCCGCACGTACGTGCGGGTCCATCCCTAGTTCTCTATAAAAAGCTAAAGTATTATCAATATGATTGAGCGGGTTTGAGTTTACATAAGTATGATTATATTTTTCTTACGAGTTATCTATACACAAACTATTTTAGTCTAAAATAAAATGAGTTAAGTGAAAGATGTTATGCCATCATCATTTTGTTATTTGAAATATTAGACATATTTAATTAAAATATTTGAATTACAAGTATATAAAAAGAAAAAAATTTCATGTAGTATTTCACGAGTTAAATCATAAATTTAACAATTAAAAGACAATTGTACAATATTAAATACAAAACAAAATTATTACACAAATACAACTTATAATTCTAAAAAATTAGTTGTAAAAAATTATCTCATGGTACACTGCGAGTTAAATCAATCAAAATACAGTTACACAATATTAAACACTAAACAAAACAAAAAAAAATTAACAAATATAATTTAGAATATATATATTTTTCTATTTTTAAAAATCCTGCGCGGGTTAAAACCTAGTATTTACATGTTCCAAATCAAAATATTATAAAAGTATATAAAACTGTAGAATTTATTTAAACTCTTACTTCGTTAATTAGTCAAAACATTTGTTAAATATTTTTTTGCTTAAAATAAATATAGAAAACTCAAGTTTAATTTTTACCAAATAGAAGGCATTGCAATATCAAAATTTCCAAAGGCAAACACACCCGTTTTCTCCGAGATGACTCTACTATTCTGGTAATGTAACCATATAATCTCCTTGTGGAACTAAAATCAGTAACTGTACATATGTTTCTCCTTGTGCATTATTATTTTAGTACGTATATTCATGATCTTCGTAGCTTCCCACACGTATTCTCGACAAGAGTTATGGTCTCTGGAAGTGGCTTAATGATTTTGAATTATATAACATCTATGTATAACATTACTTGAGACATGAATGTCATCGTTAAAAGAAGGTTTGGTGAGATAGAAACCCGAATTTTACAAAACAGTCATATAGAGTTCACAGTTCTACATTGATGAACCCAAGTCAGTTGTTGCCCATTCAACATAATATTCTTATGCAGACAAGTAGATATGCATAGTAAATAGTATCTATCCAAGAGTTTCACATATATCATCAAATCTCTTGATGACACTAATCAAAACAGATGGGTCGATCAAACCCAAAAGGTCAAAACATACAGACACAAAGCACTAAGGTGAGATCTGACAAAATTAAAAGAAAAGATCTGACAAAGCACTAATGTTTTTATTACAAACAAGAATCGAAAAGCACATTCTTTGCTTTCTTCTGAGAAACCAAAACCAGGTCAACATAACCAATTAAAACATTTTGTGAAATACCTGAAAGCAGACGTAAGCAACTCCTATGTGTTTGTGGTCTGGTTTGAGAGGACGAATGTGGAAGACATGTCTTGAGCAGAGTTTAATTGTGTTTCACCTGAAGGAGAAGAGGAGTCGGCAATATTGAGAGGTCGTTGGATCTTCTTTAGTTCTTTGGTAACTTCCACCATCGTTGGAATTTCTCCTTTATGACCGATGCATCGCAGTGAAAGCATTAGGAAAGCTTTCATTTGAGAAACCTCTTCTTCTGAAATTTCACCCATCTTTTCTATCATCTCTTGATCTGCAATCTCTTCCATTCTTCGCTCTTCCACCCCAAATTTTGACAACCAAAATTGATGATAAGAGTCATCACCAACATTTCTTTCACTGTAACCTTTAATACTGGCTTCTACCCAAATATTCATAGATCTTTTATCTCCAATTAGAAATCCTTGCAATATCAGAATTCCAAAGGCGAAGACATCTGTTTTCTCCGAGACGACTCTATTTTTCCGGTAATTAAGGTCCGTAAGGGAACCAAAGAATCCCTTTCGATTATCAATCTGTACTGATGTTTGTCCATGAGGAATTGAGACGCAGTGAGAGAAATCAGTCAGCTTCCCGACACCATCTTCATCCACTAAGATATTTAAATTAGTAATACATGTATTTACGAAAGGCCTAGGGAAGGCAGTGTGAAGGTAAGCAAAAGCAGTGGCCATATCTTCTGCTATCTTCATTCTCCTTTTCCACGTCTCTTTACTTATATCTAATCGACAATGTTTCTTCACACCATCATAAATCATGACCAGATTTTCAGACTCAAGACAACATCCAAACAATTTGATAAAGTTTTTGTGACCACTCACCATTGATGATACTGCTATATCCCTCCATATCATATTTTTCTTTCCGTTTAAACGGAATTTTTTGAAGAGTATTTTGGGGTGGTTCTCGTTTTTACCTGAATACCATTCGGTATCGTGGAAGCCATAACAAGATAATTCAGAAATATGATTAGACCAGCTGAAACGGTCGGTGGCTTTGAGGATTTGATTAGCAGAGAAGAATTTGATGGGATTGGATTTGCCATCGCAACATTCTATCAGCTCTTCTAACAACTTCGCCCCTCTCTCGCTCGCTAATATATCGGGTTTTGTTGGCTTCTTCTTCTCCTTATTCCTCAGCCAACCCATCTCAATACAAAAACTATCTTGAGAAAGTACAAGAGGATTCAAGACCTTTGAGGCTCACACAATAATTTCGACAACGAAATGAGATATTTTAGATAAGATTTTTAAGGTACTCAATTCTACCATGTTGTAAAAAGAGGTTTGAGGACTTGGACTTTTCTAAGTCCCCCCAATTCTGCTCTTATCTCATCTCCACTCAAGTTTCCGATGTAAGTTAGGAACTAGTGATGGACCCGCACGTACGTGCGGGGTTATTTTTACAAAATTACGATTTTTTTATGTATATGCTATTTTGGTAAAATTTTGTTATATGAGTTTATTGGATAAACTATATATAGACATACAGTTGTAAACTATATATATTGTATTACATAAGAAAATTTTAAAATTACAATTTTAAAATAATTTAAATGAAAATGATAAGTGATATTATGTGTTTATTTTTAAATTTAATCAAAACATTTCTAACTGTTTGCTTAGAGATGTTAAATCAGATTTGGGTTTGGCTTTAGTTTGAATTGTTTTATGTGTAGTTTAGAATTGAAAATCCGTCCTGTCCCTTTCTTTCTCGTCCTGACCCGTCCCGTCCCACCCCGCCCTGTCCCGTCCCGTCCCACCCCGCCCTGTCCCGTCCCGTCCCACCCCGCCCTGTCCCGTCCCGTCTTCTATCTGCCATAAAATTTCTGTCCTGTAATCGTTTCTTTTTAAAACATAATCATTTGCCAATGTTTATTATAAGAAACTTGGTATAAGATTTAGACGGGATACCCGTATTCCTCGTTTAAATATTCCTTGTTCAATTTTTAATTTTATTGATATTTCAGTTTCGTCTTTATTTCTCATTACTTTCTTCAATTCAAAGATTCATGTTTTACCCTTTTTGTTTTCTAAAGATTTAGGTATTTCTATTTTTTAATACATGGATTTATTGTAGTTTTGTTATCCGAAGTATACGTTATCTTCTTGTACCTGTTATTTCATGTCCAAATATTTGAAATAAATAGGAAAGTGTAGATTAAATTTAGCAATTTAAATTACATGTCCCCGTATCGTACTCATAGTTTTATATTTGAAAGTTGAAAGTGAATTGAACTCTATGACCGTATCTCATAACAATTATATCTAATCATGTTTTGTTTTTTTTATGAGACATAATTCAGATAATGTTTGTTTTCGAATTATATGTTCCCGTATCGTATCCATTCCTATAAGTTTATATCTTTTTTAATAAATAACACCATTTACATGTAACTAAATATAATTTTAATATATGTAAAATTTCATATAATCGTCCAAAAGTAAAGATTTATACGTCCCAAAGTTGAATTTTGTTCAATATTTTGAGATTTTGAGAATTAAATATAAGTCCCCCCAATTCTGCTCTTAACTCATCTCCACTCAAGTTTCCGATGTAAGTTAGGAATGTGGAACATGCATAATGATTTATTTTCATATATTAATTATCATCGATCAAAACAAGTGTTTAGAGCTCCACTCTAACACGCGCCATAAGTCCAACATTATCAAGAATATCTTAGAAGTAAGATTTACATGGGAAAATATTTTATATATATACTTTCCCATGTAAGATCATTTTCCATGTAAATTTTAGTTCTAAGATACTCTTGATAGTGTTGTCCTAAAGCTTCTCTCGATTCTCTGAGTGCTGAAAAAAATAATATAAATGTTAGTTCTAAGATAATATAGGCATGTGGATGAACTCACACGTCGAATCAAACACTAACACATGAATATGATATGTAATTTAACTATTATGTTTTCTTTTGTTCTCGTTTTTTTCTTTTCCATTTTCTTATATTTGAAATGTATTATTTTCTTTGTTTATTGGTATATTATTTTATCGTAGGGAACTTGAACAGTAGACAAAAGCCTGTGCTGCAGATTTTTATAATATAAAAACTATCAGAAAGCCCAAATTATTGAAAGTATATTATTTTATAGAGTTTTGTCCAAAAAAAATTCTTTTATTAGTAAAAAACCAAAAACAGATTAGAAATAATATCTATCTTAACATTTTTTTAAGTACATTTTGTACTAAAATCTATTTTCGCTTATAACCTTTTATTTTGCAATATTTGCATAATCAAACTCTTGCCATTTGAATTAATAACAAAACTTAAAAGTAAATTTTGTAATTAAATTACAAGTAAATCCCAAAATTGGAAACCAAATATTTATTACATTCAAAAATTCCTAAAATCTCTCTCTAATAAACCGAATCTCTATCCAATATATTTATATAATCTTATTTGTTTAAAATTTATATTATTACACAAAGTATATTTATAATAAAAATACAAAAAAATTTCACACATTTTGGAATTTAAATTTTTGAAAACGGACGTAGTTAACTCAATCAATAAAGGAAAAAATATATGTACAACGTCTACATAAGATAGAAAATTTTAGATAATAGTTCAAAACCTTTATAAATAAGACTAATATGTTTACAACTACAAATGATCATGAACTTTGTTTTCTCAAGTATCTAAATTAAAAAATTTATTAGCTTCATCTGGTTCTTTATTTAAGGAAATAAAAAAAAATTAAAGTTTCAGAATATTATAAATTTTAATTTTTAACAAGTTTAAAATGTGATAAATATTAAAACTTTAAAAAGCTGAAATTCTGATATTTTATTTAAGTTTTATAGAATATTAAAATAATGAAAATATTTAAACTCTACAAAAATTAAAAGTATTATTAATATTTTAACTCTACAAATATTTAAAATAGAATAATATTGTACATAAATATGATTGAACGAGTTTTAGTTTACATAAATATGATTATTTTTTTCTGCGGGTTGTCTATATTTAAAATCTTTTACGGGTTAAGTTATCTTGTGCAGCGTCAAACCGAACAAGAGATATACGGTGCAGAGACATTGAGAATGTCATAAAAGAAGTTTGTGTTTTTAAAGAAAAATTCTTGGGTTCACCCCTAGGGGTGAACTTATCTCATTCACCCCCTCTTAATTAGCCAATCAAAATATAATAATGTGCCATGTCATTTTCTATTTAAAAAATAAATCAAAATTAAAATCATAAAATAAAACAAATTAAGGAAACAAATTCTGTAGGGTTTTTATTTAGGAAATTTTATTCGGTTTGGGTTTATAAAATAATGGTTAGGGTTTAGATTTTATAAATAGATGAATTTATTTTTTGGTTTGGGTTTATAAATAGTGGTTAGGGTTTATATTTTCTAAATAAACAAAATTATATTTCGGTTTGGGTTGATAAAATAGTGGTTAGGGTTTAGATTTTGTAATGAAATGCAATTATATTTTGGTTTGGGTTGATAAAATAGTGGTTAGGGTTTAGATTTTCTAATTAAACAAGATTATATTTTGGTTTGGGTTGATAAATTAGTACTTTAGGGTTTAGATTTTATAAATAAACGAAATTATAAATAAGTTTAGGTTAATAAAATAGTGGTTAGAATTTAAAGTTTGTAATTAAACAAATTAATTTCGGTTTGGAAATAATAATATAAATTATTTTAATTCATTTAATTAGATGACATGGTTAATTTTGATTGGTTAGCTTAGAGGGGGTGAATGAGATAAGTTCACCCCTAGGGGTGAACCCAAGAATTGTTCGTTTTTAAAGCATCAAGGCATGAGAATGTTAATGTTTTTTAAGCATTTTCATGGCTCATACTAAACTGTACCTATATTGGTTCTTACATAGATTAAAAAGACCCGGTCCGTTTTTTTTTTGTTTCTACCAATTAAATCATACTAAACCGACTCATCCAAATTAAACCAAGTAAACCAGATTGAACCGACTAATTCAGATTTAAGCCAACTAAATCATTAATAACCACCAGCGGAAGAACAAATAACAAATCAATCCAATAAGAACCAAAAGCAGAAACCAGCAAATCATATATTCCAGCAAAACAACAATCCCAATATGCCTCTAAATTCCAGGTTTGACAAAAAAAAAAACATGCTTCCAAATTTCAAATTCTAACATCCTAACAATGTCATAAATCCAACACATAAAATATAGAGTCCCTAGATCATCCTCCACTGCCTTGATTTCAGAATCACACTTTGCTTTTTACCTACATCACAAACAAAAGATGCATAAGTATTGCCAAAAATACATAGTGAGGCAATCATTGGGCGATCCACAAAACAGTATCAATTACATTTACGTTATTCTATCAAACACAAGCATCAAACAAGACAAACTCAGCCGCTGATGAGGACTCGTATCGGTCGACACTCGCACCCGAACCCCATAATCACGAGTAGTGTCAATTGACATCCAACACTGGTGTCAATCGCCATTCGATATCATCCTCGGGACACATTTCACTTGTGACGATTGACACCGACCACTGGTGTCGATCGACACTGATGCTCTCAGATTGCTCCAGTCACTTCTGCTCGCTCTGGATCTCCACTTCTAAACACTCCAAGGACGATGACGACTCTCCAAGGGGTTGCCCAGAGTCACCAAGACATAGAAACAATCACACAAGAAAACGAATCAACCAAACAATCTTGAGATCACCCAAAAAATGATCAGACTACTTAGATAAGCCATAGTTATGCACTCACCCTTTGATTGGAATGAACAGGGACAAAAGCACAAGAACAGAGGGAGAATATGACTCTACTAACACCCATAGCAACAAACTACCATTCTCTTTCCTAGGTCCCTCAAGAACAATCACCCAAACTCTCTAGAAGACTCACAAAAACTTTCTGGAACTTTTAGGAACTTTTCTCTTTCTAGAAAAAGACAAAAGCGGCTATTGAAAAGCCTAGAGTCGATTATTCCCCTTTAAACACGAGCCCTAGGGTTTAGCCTAAGAAAACCCAATTAATTTCTCAATTAAAAACAAATTGTTAAAACCGAGCGTTACACGGATCTAAAAGCCATGTTTGCAGTGCACATTATAGTGATGGGAGTTACCTCGAACAGTGTAATGTTTGGCATGAAACTTAGTAGGAAAAAGATTGTCATCATGCAAGAAAAGAATGAGGGTGATTTGATCGTAGTTTAGCTTTTGGGATGGTGTGTATGTGGCTGTAAACCGTATTGCACGGTTGCACCTATGGCTCTGGAGAGACATAACCTCTCGTGTACTCTGGCTAAACGAGTTTAGTACACTGAGACTTGGAAAAGAAATTCAGAAAGTGAGAGAACTAAATAACATTCCCAAGATGGTGGCTTCATGTTCAATCCGTCTTTTATGATTAAAGATGAGAACTACACTGGAAAATGCGGATTTGTATATATATGGACTATAAACATATTCAAATGTTTTTATAATTACATTGAAATCTATTATATCTGACAAATTCATTTAATCCATCATTTTCCAAAATACAATTATTTATAATGTTTTAAAAGGTAGGAACTACTACTCAAAGAATAAATCCAAATATTTATAAGATTTCAAAAAGTAATTTATGTATATTTTTATAAGTTTACGAACATATTTGGATAAAGATAAGGTTTTTAATGAAAATAGTAGAGAATGAGTATTTCCGGGAAAAAAGATTATTGATAACATTGTATTTTCAAAATTACGCCAAAATGAGAAACTAATGTAAATTAATTGTATATTATTTATAGTGATAGTCAAAGAATCTAAAGTTAGAAAAAAATCATTCCATGTAAAGAAAGAATGGTTTAGGCACGCCACCATTTCTTTCTGTACGTATATATAAGTAGTGAAGCACTAAAAGCCTCCACCAGACCACCACCACATCTCTTATATACTCCGACCAAAGAGGCAAACACTAATCTCCATGGAGAATGTTGGAGGAACGGCAAGTCTTTCAGGTCTCTCTCTTCCTCCCTGTTTTATAATTGTTTGGTGGTAAAATTTAATAATCTTACTACTTACCAGTCCGAGAAGGATGATATTGTTGGTATGAGACTTTAGGATAACAGTGATTCATATGGGACCAAGAAGTTTTGGTCAAAGAAACATGATAAATGATTATTTCGATTTTCTAAAAAAATTTCTTGACTGCATTCTCTTAGTCTGCTCTATACAACTTTGATGATATTAACTAACCATGAGTTTTACATCTCAGTGTGAAAATGGACATATAGCTTGCTCTTCTCGTTGTATTAAGCTGATGAGTAATACCAGCACTTCTTGCACTTTTCCCATTGGTAACTACCGATGTCTAATAATGGATAAAGTTGTGGAAGCAATCAATGTCCCATGCCCAGACGCCAATCATGGCTGCCCAAAGAAATTCTCTTATGGCAAAGAGTTAGTCCATCAAGATGATTGCTATTTTACTCGGTGCTACTTTCCTACACCAAACCGCAACTACATGGACGTGTACGAGATCTCTACCGTCATTACAATACCAGCCACAAGGCTAGTTGCTCAAGGTTCATGTGTGGAAATTACGATGATGCATGGTTACACATCAGTGAGAAGATATTAGTCTTTCAGAAACATGAATATGGTACATTGGTTGTTCTTCAGTGCTTCAAGGAGGAACATGGATTGTATGTGACGATGAACTGTACTGCACCTATTACTCAAGGAGTTGGGGAATTCTGCTACGATACCATCTATGTTGTAAAAAGAAAGATAGTATAACTTAATTTTTTTTTGAATAATCAAAGATGTTCTGGGTCTAAGCCCATATATCCCCTCAAGCCCGAGACCAGAGCATGTTATATGGTCACGTACAAGTATAATTTAGTTTTACAAACCACAAAGTTGTATAAACAGATGTGTCGAATAGAGAAAAGCTGTAAGACATACAGATAAGACAAAAACACTTTATAATGAATGATACTTTTTCTGAATAATTTTTTTCTATTTGCTCTGATTGTGAGACATGACTTATATAGAAAACTAAAAAAGTAGCTAACACCCATTACCCGATAGACTCATTATGTCCTACAATAAAACATAACTTGAAACACCAAACTAAAACTAAAACTGGCAAATATTTACACTCCCCCATTTATTCCTCTTTGACTCAAGCTTTGAATCATTCTTCGATATTCTTCCGGAAGAGATGTCAAACTTTTAGGTAGGTATTAGTAGAGATAACTAGGATTCAAAAAGTGAATTTTTGAAACACATGTGAAAAAACTATACGTTGATTCCTCCTTATGCCCTAGATGAGTGCTCTATATTGAAGATGGAAATTCACATTCATAGATTAGGAGATGATGAAAAAGAAGAATATGGTGATGATGATGATGATGATGATGATGATGATGATGATGATGATGATGATGATGATGATGATGATGATGATGATGATGATGATGATGATGATGATGATGATGATGATGATGATGATGATGATGATGATGATGATGATGATGATGATGATGATGATGATGATGATGATGATGAAGTCGCTTTGGGTAGCAATATTCATAAGTAGTTTCGGAGGCAATATTTTAGGAAAAGCTATAGTTAGCTAGACGAACTATGACTACACATCTCAACTTTGAAAATGTATAGCTACATACACAAACTATATGTATTGCATGCCCACATATATCAACTATATGTCAACATATGGTCAACATCACAATCCTTTTATTCCGGTACACCATTCGTCGGAATTCGGCGTTAACAATGATTGACCAGCGTTGACCAACATTGACCGGCATTGACCAAAAAAATATTTTTACTGAATGTTTAATGGTCTAGTGGTGAAAGTATGTTCTTTTGCTGCACAAGTCTCGCGTTCGCGCCAGATGTATGCAGTTTTTGTTTTGTTTTTTTTTTTTTTGCAGTGTTTTGTTAGTGGATCAAAATATTTTTTGCTTTAAGCATACCAAAATCTTGCGCCGGCCCTAATCATCTTATTATATAAACCTTGGTTTTCAAACTAAGCCGTTAACAAGATCGTGACACGTGTCAATTATAAACGATAAGATGTTGACACGTGGCATAGCTAATTTTGTTAATATTTGGATAAAATAGAAATATTATTAACCATATCGAAGAAGAAAATATATAAAATAAATATTATAAAGAATTATATATTAAAAATTGTTAATAAAATTAAACAAATAATCTAATTTCAGTTATGTCAATTTGGTTTATTAATAAGATAGGGATTTAAAAATTATAATTAACAAAAATATATGGCGGTTTTTGTTTACAGAAGAGGATTAAGGTTTAAACTTTAATTTTACAATTAAATCAGGTTATTTGTTGGTTTGGGTATATAAATGATAAATAAAAATTATGTTTTATCTTTATTAATTAAAATTATGGTTTAAGTTTAACAATTAAACGAGATTATATGTCAAAACTTGGTTTTTAAATTTACTAACTCACGTGATCATGATAAGTGTCAAGTAAAAACATAAGATGTCGCAATATGTTATATCTAATTTTGTTAATATTAAGATACAAATAGAATTTTTAAACAACATTAAAAAAAGATTATAAAAAATTAAAGAGAATTTTTGAGAAATATTGTACCCCTTTTCAAAAATACCTCCTTTATCTATTCATGTTCAAAAATATCCATGTTTAAATATGAAAAATTATAAAGTTTTATATGGTTTATAAGGTACTTCTATATAATAACTACTACTTGGAATTTTGATACAAATATTTTATAATGTTTTAAAAGGTTTTAAATCGTTTTTACAAGTTTTATAAGGTTTTTAAGTGGTTTTTAAAAGGGTTTATAAGGTTTTTAAAAGATATTTATAAGTTATTTTACGCTATTTATGAAATATATATAAAAATTTAAACATATATAAAGGTAATTTATAGGTATATTTATAAGTTTTCACACATATTTGGATAAATTTCAACATTTAAAGTGGTTTTTTTTAATAAAGTTTGAAATGGGGGTATTTTTAAAAAGTGGTATGGAAAAGGGGTATTTTTGATAATTAAAAAGTTAAAAAAATTGATATTTATAAAAAAAATGTGTAAGCTTATTTATATTTAGACACAAATTATCTTTCTATGTGTGTAAATTTAAATACCATATAAATACCTTTTAAAAACGTTTTAAAATTATTTAAAAAACATATAAAAACTTTTTAAACCTTATAAAAACCTTATAAAAGTCTTATAAATGCCGTTTAGAACCTTTTTAAAACTTTATAAATATTTTTATTGAGTCTCCCAATAGTAATGATGATCTAGATGTACCATATAAACTATATAAAAGTATACAATTTTTCATATTTGAAAAGATATATTTTTAAAATAGATAGAAATTGGTGTATTTTTAAACCGGGGTACACCAAAAGAGGTATTTGTCAAAAATTCTCTTTCAACTATTAACCTAATTTTTGGTTTTGCCAGTTATAGGTTTTACAATTATAAGGGTTATATGTTGAGTTTATAAATCTTCATTATAGTTTATAATTTATAATTAAACGAGATTATTTATCGGTTTGGGTTTATTAAAGAGGAGTGAGATTTAGGTTTTACAATTAAACAAGTTTATTTATCTATTTGGGTTCATAAAGGAGAATTAGGATATACAATCTACAAATAAATTAGATTTTGAGTTTAACTAAACACATAATTTTATTCATGATTTTTATTTTATAATATGTTATATTTGTTTAATTTTTAATTTATGTATGAATGTATTATGCCATTGAGCAATTTCATTGTCTAAAACATAAGGGTGAATAAAAGAATTTCAAAAATAATATTTTTAGCTTAAATTAAAGATAACAAAGTTCAATATAAATGGTAATATAGTAATTTTAAAAATATTTTTAAAGAAAATATGTAGTTTTTTATAATTCGTATTTGAAAGATTTTTTTAATGTTTTCCTCAAAGATACTATAATTTATTTTAGAATCTTTATGTTTATTTGCGTTGTTTATATGAATTTATTTACAAATAACTATATTTGTATTTAACATCATATTTTAGATTGATGTTAATTTGAAAGAACTTTACCATCATATTAAATAATAATTAATTAATTTTCATAGTCTGAGAATGATTTTCTACAATTTTAAAGTTAAGAAATAAACAAATGGGATAATCATGTTTTACAGGATAATTGCTAAATTAAGATTTTTCAAAATATTTTAGCAATATTATGAGTAATGGTGAATAGCTCCCAAATATAACCTCTATAAATTAATACTCATTAATATTCTCTATAAATTAATAAATTTTTCTGGTACAACTCGGACCAGTGTAATTTTAATCACATTTTGATAAAATAATAAGATCATAATTTTTTTGAAAATCCTTTGTAAATTTGTAGTCCCATCAATATTATAAATTAATGATTAGGTAAAAATATCAAAATATATGTATATATATACACATTTGAGTTTTTGTTAGATTTTATTTTTAAATTGTTTTGGAAAAACTTTCCAAATTAAAAAATCTCTCTATAAATTAATAATAATTAATTTATCGATAAATTAAAACCTCTATAAATTAATAGATTTTCATGGTCCCAATATTATTAATTTATAGAGGTTTTACTGTAGCTCCCAAATGTTTTGGTGATTGTCAATTTGACATTACTAGATTTTTATAATTAACGTTTAATAAGGAATTTTAAGAGATATATATGTATATATATATATATATATATATATACACGTTTATTTGATACTTCAAACCAAATAAATCTCTTACCAAATGAAATTAATATCTCTTATTTTTTATTAAAAAAAATTTGGAAATTATTTTTTTATAAGATATAATAAATTTTAATTTTAACGGGTACTAAACTAGTATTATATATGTTGTAGTTCATATATCATTGGCCTAGTAATGTATTTCCGATGTTTGGTTGCGGGTTGTGAGACTAAAAATATTTCTATTATATTAAATTTATGTGATTTTATATCCCTAATAGATCAAACCCAGAAGGCCAAAACATACACACACACACACAAAGCACTAAGGTGAGATATGACAAAAGTAAAAAAATGTCTTTTATTACAAACAAGAATCGGGTTATTTTCAGCACATTCTTTTCTTTTTTCTGAGAAACCGAAACCAAGTCAACATAAGCCATTGAAACATTTCGTGAAATATGTGAAGGCATGCAATACATGTAAGAAATGCCTTTGTGTTTGTAGTATGGCTTGACAAGTCGACTATGGAAGAAATGTCTTGGAGAAAGTTGAATTGGGTTTCACCTGAAGAAGAAAAGGAGTCCGTAGTATAAAGAAATCTTTGGATATTTTTTAGTTCTTTGGCAACTTCCACCATCGTTGGGATTTCCCCTTTAAGACCGACGCATCTTAGTGAGAACATTAGGAAAGCTTTCATTTGAAAAAGCTCTTGCTCGGAAATATCATTCATCTTTTCTATCATATGTGGATCTGCGATCTCATCCATTCTTCGATCTTCCACACCAAATTTTGATAGCCAAAATTGGTAAGTGTCATCATTGACATTCCTTTTAGTGTAACCTTTTTCACTAGCTTCTACCCAAATCTTCGAAGATCTTTCACTTCCAACTAGAAGGCTTTGCATCAAAAATCCAAAGGAAAATACATCTGTTTTCTCTGAGATGATGCTACTTTTCCGGTAATTATGGTCCACAATGTAACCATAGAATCCCACTGGAGTATCATCAACGCATACAAATGTTTCTCCTTGTGGAATGGAGACGCAGTAAGATAAATCAGTTAGCTTTGCGTTACCATATTCGTCCACAAAGATATTTCCAAGACTCATACTCCTATATACGAAGGGCCTAGGGAAGGCAGTGTGAAGGTAAGCTAAAGCAGTCGCGATATCGTATGATGTCTTTATTCTCATTTTCCACGTTTGTGCACTTATATCTAATTTGCCATGATTCTTTACACCATGATAAACCATGACTGGACATTCAGACTCAAAACAATATCCAAATAGTTTCAAAAAACTTTTGTGACCACTCACCATCGATGATATTGCTATGTCTCGGCAAATATTTTCATCTTGGTATATACAGAGTTTCTTGACCAGTATTTTGCGGTGATTCTCGTTATTACCTGAATACCATTTAGTCCAGTGGTAGCATCCATAACCAGTTAATCCGGAAATATGATTAGAGTAGTTGAAACTATTGGTAAGTTTGAGGATCTGATCAGCAGAGAAGAATTTGATGGGATTGGATTTGCCATCGCAACATTCAATTAGATCTTCTAACAGCTTCGCCCCTCTCGCTAATATTTGCTTCTTGTTCCTCTTCCTCCTCCACCACCAATCCATCTTTAAACTAAACCAAAAAAAAATATACTTTACTTTGAAATCAAATGACCAGAGGATTCAAGACCTCACAAAATGAGTTGTAAACGAAATGGGATTATTTAGATCAGATTTTTAAGGTACTGATTATTTAGATCAGATTTTTAAGGTACTCACAAAATTCTTGTGCATGACTATTCAATACTGATGTCCTCCCTCGTAAAGATAGCATGCACCATGGTAGATAAGAGATTTGTGGACTTGGACTTTTCTACGTAAAGATAAGCACATAAGGACTAAAAATTGCAAACGAAAAATATATGAGGACTTGGACTGTTCTACATCTCGCTTTCTAAGTTTAAATTTTTCTTTTTTGTCAACAGCTTTTATAAATAGACTCAATTGAGCCAAGAGTTAGGAACATTGTTTACATAGAGACAAAGTAGCGGTTCAACACGCGCTTGGCGTGCCAACTTATCCGCTTTCTAAGTTTAAAATGTTCGAAGAAATAAGTGCATAACTAAATAAGACAATTTTATTTTTTTTGTCATCAAATAACTAAAACTGACTCAAATGAGCCAATTTGAAGAATTTGAAGGACAATTGTTTACATACTTAATAACTTCGCTAGGGATTTATAGGATTTATATTTTACATTTGTTATACGATGTTACAAAATGTGTGGTTTGTCCTAGATTTTCATGATTTCAGTCAACAGATAGTAATTGGAGGCTCCGACTTGCATACTTGCTCATCGTGGATGGTGTTCTTATAGCGAACCATCAATCCCCTTGTCCTTCTCCATAAACGTCACAAAATATGGAATCATTCTCTTCGGCATGAACGTAAAAATTTTTGAGAAAGTTTCGGATAATATTCGTTTCTATTCTTTTCTCAATCTACTTTATGTTATGTTTTTAATTAGAGGATCACCAAAGTTCAGTATATATATTATCGTGCAAGTGTCCATCTGCAGTGTGTATGGCTACTGGGATGATTTGGTGTTATATATCTACCCTTTGAGTATTTATTTATTAATTTTATCTTTTTGACATCGAAAACTTACGGTAATCAGATTTGACTAAAGGCTTACAGCTAGGCCTAGGCAAAATACCCGGACCCAAAAATCCCATTCGAACCCGATCCGAAAAATCCGATCCAAACCCGAACCCAAAACCTAGAAATACCATTCTGCGTGTTTTCAATCGGAACCAAAAAGAGTCAAACCGAGCAAATTAAACATGCATGAGCGTTACATGGTAATCGAATGACTAATTAGTGTTGAAAGTAGGCCTAGGCGTTCGGGTACCCGTTTGGGTTTGGGTCGGGTATTTCGGATTTTTGGGTTTAGAGATATATTGCGATTATGCAAAAAGTTTACCAATCAAGAAAATTTGCATAATCGCATTAGAAAACGTAAAAATACATAGTTTTTTTTTCACCTAAAAAATATAAGTGAAATCTCATTATGCAAATAAGTGAGTATATGGGTGTTTATTTTCATAATAGATTTTATTCTCTTTATACATATAATTATTAATAATTGTAAAAGTAACAAAAAAAAAACTATCTTTATACATCTAATTTATAAAGGTTGTTCCAGCCACTATGTCAACCTTGACAAATGTTTCTCCTTGTGGAATTGAGATGCAGTATTTGAAATCAATCAGCTTAGCAGCCCCATCTTCATCCAGTAAGATATTCGAAAGAGCCAACGTCCTATACACGAAGGGCCTAGGGAAAGCAGTGTGAAGGTAAGCAAAAGCAGTAGCGATATCCTCAGCTATCTTCATTCTCCTTTTCCACGTCTCTTTACTTATATCTAATTTGTTATGTTTTTTAACATCATCATAAACTATAACCAGATTTTCAGACTGAAGACAACATCCAACCAATTTCATAAAGTTTTTGTGACCACTCACCATCGATGATACTGCTATGTCCCTGCAGATCATATTTTCCTTTCCGTTTAAACGGTATTTCTTGACCAGTATTTTGGGGTGGTTCTCGTTTTTACCTGAATACCATTCAGTCCCGTGGAAGCCATAACCATCTAATCCGGACATATGATTAGAATACACGCTGAAACTGTCGGTGGCATTGATGATCTCGTCAGCAGAGAAGAATTTGATTGGATTGGATTTGCCATCGCAACATTCGATTAGATCTTCTAACAACTTTGCCCCTCTCTCGATCGCTACTATCTCGGATTCTGTTGGCTTCTTCTTCTTCTTCCTCAGCCAACCCATCTCAAAACCTTAATTAGAAGACAGATTCAGTAACAAATCGCTGCGTCAGCGACTTAGAAATAGAATACAGATCTCCTTATCGCAGCTACTGGTTCTACGTTTCGACGAAGACAAACAATGAATCGCTAGTGAATCCCATCCCCCAGCGATAAAAAAAATTTCGGATTAGTCGTGCTTTTGCCTTTGTTTATGTCATTTTTTTCCCGCAGCGTCACTTCTCCGAAGAGGGCCGATAAAGAAAAATAAAAAGAAAAGAAAAACTAAAGACCTCAGACTCACACAACTAATAAATTAATGGTTACGAACCTATAAATATTTAAACTAAATTATTTTTGATTTGATTATTGAAAATGAGTAGTGGAGTAGATTAGAGTTACTAGTTTACACATTTAACCATTTAAAATATTGTTTAATGTAATAATTTTTATTAAAAGTTTAACCGTACGGTTAATTATATGTACGGTTAACCAACGATTTTAAACGGTTATGGTTGATAACAGTCACGGTTAATATTTTTGTATAACTATGACTGATTATCTTTACGGTTAACGGTTAGGGCATCTCCAACCCCACTCTATTTTAGAGCAACATTTGCTCCAATCATAATCTATATCTTGCTCTAAAATTAGAGTAAATTATAGAGTTCCTCTAAATATAGAGTAATTCTATTCTCTACTCTATTTTTTTATACTACCTCTATTTTAGAGCAAGATATAGAGTACTACATTAGAGCAAAACAATGCTCTATTTTAGAATTACTCTATTTTAGAGAAAAAAAAAATAGAGCTAGGCATTGGAGATGGTCTTATAGTTCTTAATCGTTTTACACAGTTAAAGCTCGGTTACGGTTAAAAAACGGTCTAGTTACGATTAAAAAACGGTCCGGTTACGGTAAAAAATACCGTTAAGGTTAGATTTTAGTCATGCCTATAAATATTTAAACTAAATTATTTTTGATTTGATTAGTGAAAATGAGTAGTGGAGTAGATTAGAGTTACTAGTTTACACATTTAACCATTTAAAGTATTGTTTTAATGAAATAATTTTTATTAAAGGTTTAACCGTACTGTTAATTATATGTATGGTTAACCAACGGTTTTATACGGTTACTATTGATAACGGTTACGGTTAAAAAAAAATTTTATAACCGTGACTGATTTATCTTTACGGTTAACGGTTATAGTTCTTAACTGTTTTATACAATTACAGTTTGGTACAATTGAAAAACGGTCCGGTTACGGTTAAAATACCGTTAAGGTTAGATTTTAGTCATGCCTAGCTAGCATGACTATGGTTACTGTTTATTAACCACCGTTAATAGTTATAATTTTCTTAAACCATAACTTTAAGCATCATCATCACCTTTATTATTTTATCTTTATTGCTTAAAAAAATTTTAGTATAAGATTCTTTAAAATTTGTCAATACTTCCCAAAATGGATTTTCTTTACTAATATAAGCATTGGTTTTATAAGCATTGGTTTTAAAAAAGCAATAAAAAAAAACAAAAGCATTGATTCGTAATAAATGAAAAGTAAAGAATTTAGCTGTTCTCTCTTTTAAAAAAATATATTCAAAGTTCAAACATCACATTTGGCAATTTTCTAAATCCGTCTCTTGAAAACGCGTCTCTATGTTTTCTTTGCCGTTTCTTTGTCTCAATATGACCAAAGAGAAATCACACAAAGTTTTATTTCATTAAAATTCTCCGGAGAGATAACATAGCGATGGAACTGAGGAGAAAATTGTGTCTTGTGGTTGCAGTTTTCGTAATTGTGATCGAATTTGCATCAGGCAACTTCGTTTTTAAGGTACAACACAAGTTCGCAGGGAAAGAGAAGAAGCTCGAGCATTTCAAGTCTCACGACACGCGCCGACACTCTCGGATGCTCGCTTCCGTTGATCTCCCTCTCGGTGGAGACAGCCGCGTAGACTCTGTCGGGTTTTGCTCTTTTTCCCTTCTTTCTTAAATTTCCGACTCAAAACTAATTGGCAATAAGTGAAATGACGTATATTTTATTATATTACTATACAACCGCAATTTCTAATGTGAGACGTTGTAACATATAGCAAAGCTGATCATTATAATGCGATTGTTTATGTATCATTTTGTTACAATACCTAAGTTTAGGTACTAATGAAGTTACATTTTCTTGATTTTGTTCTAGTTTATATTACACTAGAATCAAGCTCGGGTCGCCACCAAAGGAATATTATGTACAAGTTGATACAGGAAGTGATATACTTTGGGTCAATTGCGCGCCGTGTCCAAAATGTCCTACCAAAACCAATTTGAATGTAATGTTTTCTTATTTTGATTCACCTAGTGGTCTAATGGTAACAGATAAATGTTCTCATGAGCTAGATCATCATTTTTTTTTGTAATTTGGTTTGCCAATGCAGTTCCAATTATCATTGTTTGATGTGAATGCTTCCTCGACCGCGAAGAAGGTTGGTTGCGAAGATGATTTTTGCTCTTTCATTTCGCAATCGGATAGTTGTCAACCCGCTGTTGGATGTAGTTATCACATTGTTTACGCGGACCAAAGCACAAGTGATGGGAACTTTATAAGAGACAAGTTAACACTTGATCAAGTTACTGGAGATCTTCAAACCGGACCACTTGGCCAAGATGTGGTTTTCGGGTGAGCTTAATTAATATCTTCCTTCTCTTTTGTTTGTGTGAGTTTTTCTCAATAGAGATTAATCTTTGAGACAGGTGTGGAAGTGATCAATCTGGCCAACTTGGGAGTAGTGAATCAGCAGTTGATGGTGTAATGGGATTTGGACAGTCAAATACCTCAGTCCTTTCCCAACTAGCTGCCTCGGGCGATGCGAAAAGAGTTTTTTCGCATTGCTTGGATAATGTTAAAGGTGGTGGGATTTTTGCTGTTGGTGTTGTTGATTACCCAAAAGTTAAAACAACCCCTATGGTACCTAATCAGTAAGTGATATGTCTTCTCAATAATTCATTTACTATATGCTCTTGAATTATGAATCTTGTTATAACATTGCGTTGCTTAAACAATTTTTTAGGATGCATTACAATGTTATGTTGATGGGAATGGATGTGGATGGAGCTTCTCTTGACCTTCCACCAAGTATTGTTAGGAACGGAGGAACCATTGTTGACAGTGGTACAACTTTAGCTTACTTTCCAAAGGTTCTTTATGACTCTCTAATAGAAACGGTAACACTTACTTCTCTGTTCATACTCTTATTAGTGTTTATTTCTAGTGTGTGTGAATCACAAACAATCCTGACATGAGTTTGGTTTGTGTAGATTCTTGCTCGTCAACCTGTAAAACTTCACATAGTAGAGGAAACCTTCCAATGTTTTAGCTTCAGTAAAAAGTAAGACGGCTTGTTTCTTTCGCCTACCGTGTTTGTTTCCGAACCATTCTTCTTATAGATACCTATAAATCAAGCCTTACTTAAGTAGTATTCATCATTACCTATATAACTTCTATGTGTTTGCATAAGCATGATTCAATCATGATAAGTGTGTCATATGCTAAAATCTTTTCATTCTTGAACTCGCAGCGTGGATGAGGCGTTTCCACCAGTAAGTTTTGAGTTTGAGGACTCTGTCAAACTGACTATTTACCCGCATGATTATCTTTTCTCGCTTGAGGTAAGTAAATCAACAGTAGGATGTTTTCGAGTTGCGATGTTTTCGCTTTTGCGTAATTGATGAGAACTCTCTTTTTTTTTCCTCCATTTGACAACAGAAAGACATGTATTGCTTCGGTTGGCAAGCTGGTAGTTTGACAACTGATGAAAAATCAGAAGTGATTCTCTTAGGAGGTAAATGAATCATCTTTTCTTTCGCTATTGCTCACTCTAGTCTAGGCGATAGCGATTAACCATACTATACCACAATCGTGTGTATGATTTTGGTATGTGGCCTCCCATATGTTACAATAAAAGTACTGAATCATTGACTTATCATTATGTAGATTTGGTGCTCTCAAACAAGCTAGTAGTATACGATCTGGAGAACGAGGTGATCGGATGGGCAGATCATAACTGTAAGTATCTTTAGAACCCAAAGAAGTAGCAGACTTTTCATCTTTTCTTTATACCAATATATGAGTCTCATCTTGAAGGTTCGTCGAGCATCAGAGTAAAAGACGGATCAGGAGGTGTTTACTCGGTTGGAGCAGACAATCTCTCATCGGCTCCACCTTTGTTGATGATCACAAAGTTTCTTACAATTTTGTTGGCATTGATCGTAGTGGCTTTAACTTCATTAGCATAGTAACAAAGAAGACCATTTTATATGGGTTATATACTTATATGTGAATTCTCTTGGTGATGGATACTCAAAGAAGAAATCACTTTTTAAAAGTCTTCCAAGACACACATATCTCTTTGCTTGTTCAGTTTTTATACAGATCATATACAAAAACATATATAGGAATTTACAAATATGTTATTGAGATGGGAGCAATTAGAGGGTGTTCTTCAAGAACTGTACAACAAAGTATACAATGGCTAGAAACAGTGCAATCTGATACCCATCTCTTTCGAAGCTGTCGTCTCTTTGGAAAAACTGCATCAACACAAGTAGCATTCTCTTAGTTTACATCCTGTACATAGATACAACTATGTAGCCTTATGTTCTGAGGATTGCTTCAGGTTTAAAGATTTCAATCAAACTGACCGGTTGACAGAACCAAAGAGTATCATTTTCTATATGATTATACAATATTGTTAGTTGAAACTGACCTTATTCGGATCGGTTGGATCCCGATATATATCTGTGTCCTCTTTTCGAGTTGTCAAATTGGCAGTCAAGTCTTTTGTGACATCGGCCAAATCTTTTGCAGATTCAGAAGCAGCAAAGAGACGGCGGGAGGTCCAGAAATAGGCTTGTGCAATAGGGGACGATGAGGATAAGTCCCAAGACTCTTCATGCTCAATCACTTGGCCACTAATCTGGTTAAGAGTAAATTCAGATTTGACTTTGATTATCAAATCTCCACTTATAGCAGCAAGTAAAGATTTGGGTTTTCCTTTGACTGTCCATTGAATACGTAAGACGCTGGTGGATAACATTACCATCTCTTGTACAGTCTACAAATAAGGGGAAGAGAATCACATTACTAGTTTCTGAAAGGATTAGAAAATGCAAATGTTAAGAGTTGAGATCGGTTCTCACCACCGTAGGATTCTCTAATCCACTAGTTATCCACA